GGCCCCCCCCCCCCCCCACCCACCACCAAAACCCCCCACCCCCCCCCCCCCCTCCAACTTCCAGGGGGCCCCCCCCCCCCCCCTTGCACCCGCAACCTCAGACCGTACACCGCCAAACCCTCAAACCTTAGAAGAGCAAGACAAATTGACTTTTTCGCGTCGCGAACATCCGTTGCAAAAGCCTTCGGAACGGCGCGCTGCTGGAGCTGGTCGGGTTTTAGGGTCCTTGGGGTAGTCGCTAATATCACCTTGACGACTTCGTTGGGTTGGCCTTTACCTGCAAAGCACGGAAACCCCTCAACCACAAACTTCCTGGAGGGCAGATTGCAAACAAGTTGAAACTGTCCCTTGAAGAGAAAAAAAAAACACAGCGCCCAGAAACTCTAAAAGCTCCAGCTTTCACGTGGAAAGATCCCAGAAACCCAAACCCTGCAAAACCTATAAACAGAGTGCTTGGCTCAATAGGGGGGGCCGGCTTTTTTTTTGGGGGTGGGGGGGGGGGGGGCCCCTTCTGCTCACCGGGGGGGGCGGGGGGGGGCCCCCCCCCCCTTTGTTCGGGAAGAGGGGCCTGTGTGGCTGAGGGGGGGGGGGGGGGGGGGGGGGGGGGGGGGGGGGGCTAGCTTGGATTTCGGCAGGCCGCAGTGGGGCGCACTCTCCCGCAATTGATCCAGACTTTCGAAACGAAACTATAAGAACGGTGTATCAGCTGCCGTTGGCCTCTGGTCTGGACAGTTGTGATGGCCTGAGCAAGGGATCAACACACTGCAGGACAGCTGAAACGTTTATATTCTCGTTCTCGGGCACTATAGCATGTGACGGAAACTTATCCTTTCCAGCCCGGCGGCAGCGCATCCGAAGCAGCGCCGAGCTGCCGTGCAGTGCGCCTCAAAGCACCCCAAACGAGGCGCCCCAAGCAGCTCAGTGCAACTCAGTGCAGCTCATGCGCAGTTTGTGACTCCATCATCGACGCAAGAATCCCCGAAGGCTCTCTCCTAAGGTTCCCCGGCATCTGTGTTTCCTCCATGTCAGGGTCGTAACCTGCGGAGCTGAGAGCAACTTCGGCGATTAGTCTACTCTGTGTAGGCTAGAAAACTCTTGTCAAGCCCATGTCGGATCGAGGACAACTTCCTGGGCGGCTTTCCAACTGCACGGTGCAAATCTGAGCTTGCATCGGAACGGCTGGATGGTGGCAACGTGTATCATTTTGCACGAAGCTTCTGTACCGTGCAGTGTGTAACGTGCCACTATATCACAACTTCGCCTCCCACCCGACCCCCGCGCAGGTTTAGGCTTCGCCCGCCCAAAAAGTCTGGGCTCCCAGCAGCCAGCAACTAATGTGTCTGCATGGTTCTGCTGTTCATGGCAGGTGTTTGCGTTAGGACTGCAGCGACAGCATGACCAAAGTTCTGTGGATGTCAAAAACATGTAAGCAAACTTTTCACTAACCGACTAACCAGGAACCCAATGCTTTTGCAAGTTTATCGTATCCGCACATTCCACAAAGTGCAAGCAAGATCAAGCAAGAAAAGAAGCCTTGTGCACCTTCCACGAACTGGAGCATCACCTGGATGTTCACAAGAATCTTGACCATTGCCGGAACTGTCTATGCAGATGCTCTTCTTTTGAGACAAGGACCTCCTAACTATGAGGGCATGGTGCAAACTGATAAACGTGATCGACATGGTACAAACTTACTCTGCCTAGACCCTCGAGCTCTAAACTCCCAGCCTGCAGGAAATCAGCCTTGTTGGCTTTGTTGGAACCGCCGCAATGGCGCCACACCTCTCAGAACTTCGAGCTGAGCCGCTTCATGGCGCGGATCTTTGCATGATGTTGCATATATATATATATATATATATATATATATATATATCGCATGGGTGATGTCGGGGCCCGCGCTTCAGCGAAATCCTGACCACATGCAATGGCTCCAGGGCCTACTGGCCTACCTAGTAGACCCTAACGACCTTCACACGGACAAGTAACTTCGAAGCATAGGCGTGCGAGATTTCTGCCGCCTTGGCCGACTTCCTTCAGTTCTTGGCTACTGAAGTTGCGCCAGCACCCTGAATGGTGGGAGGATGTCCGTGCCTAGAAACACTGATATGAACACGATGCGACTGTGACCCGAGACTCAGAGCGTTGAACAGCGGCTTCAGGAAATGCCAAAACTGGGCGAAGAGGGAGTAAGATGAACCTAACTAACAGCTGTGCCCGAAGCTGCCTGCTGGAAGATCTCCGGATCGCTGAGCAGCAAGTGCACCCTGCCCGCACACGGCAGCAAAGCACCGGAATGAGATATGAGCAGTGGCCACATGTGGCCACTATTTTCATGCGGCAACAGCACAAACCCATTGACCTCGCTGCCGCATGGGCGTCACTCACGTCTGTGTCGGAGCTGGTACCCACCTGGTGAAAGCTCGTCTGATATCCTTACCCTTTGCAGGTAGAACGGAACTGAGATGCATACTCCCATGTTGTGGAAGGCGGCAGGAGCGTCTCCGTATCAGCATGGGGAACAAGGGCATAAAAGCAAAGAGGTCTGCATAGCGTGCTGATTGGGTCTCAAAGTGCTGCGTGTATGTCAGTGTATGTATCCGTGTCGGTGGGGCGACGCTACATGGTGAGTGCCTGAGCGGATGAGCGAGTACTGTATGAGGGTGAGTGAGCGCACGGGTGACCGAAAAATGGTACGTTGACTGACCATCTTTGACCAGAACCCTCATAAGCTGCAGTCGCAACAGAATGGCTTCAGCACTTTGCACAGCAGTCCTACAGCAAAGCTCGAAATCGATGGACTGAGTCTCAGCTATGATATCAGTTGTAGAGCTGTGATTCGTGGCGCGCTCCTGCCTAAGTCTACAAGCAGCTTGTGGAGTAGTTTATGAAGCTTGCACCTTAGAGATTCAGAAGCTGGTGATAATTGAGGACCCTGTGCCTTAAGCAAAACTCAGCATTGGGTAGTGAATGTTGACAGATGTTGACAGATGTTGACAGGGCTTGAGATTTGGGGTTTTGGGCAGATGGGGCTCGGGTGCCAGGGCCTGGGGAGACACAACCAAGGGTTGAACTCCCAGAACCATACACTGCGTTTTTGCTCCTGCTCCACTTCAGGCCTCAAAGTGCTAGCCGCACCTCCAAGCAGCTCGTCTACGTGCAGCAAATGGTCAATCTGCAGAGCCCAACCAACACTCCATCGCAAATTGATGCCCATACATCCGGGGCGACACTGCGCTCGCAGAGGATGTTCTTTCGATGCATGTAGACGCAACAGGCGCAGTTCACGATCCAGCTCACCCCACAGCTTTCGCCGCCCTCCAGGTTGCCTTGAAATGATCGACACAAACGGCATGTCCTGTGGCACCACGATTGCAGAGCCTACCTGAAGCCTGGTTCCTCCGTGCGCGACGGGCCTCCGGTCGACGCCTGGTCTGGTCAAGGGTCTCGTCAAAGGGGTTACATAGGACATGCTGGGCCAAAACCCCATCTGCATCAAGGACATCTCACCAGGTCTGTCTGTTGCAAGGAGCAGCCACTGACTTCCGTTCAGCATCTCCTGCAAAGACCCATACCAGTCGACAAACTCCCTGTAAAGCCGCTCAAGTCGCTCGTGGAAATCACTAAATGGATTCCGCAACACACGCATGGCGACGCCTTCTGGCCGTTCGTTCCTACACCACCATTCCGACCAGTTGCGCTCGCCTATGGCGGTGCGAAAAGTTAACAGTCCTTCATTGACAAACCGTTGGACTGTCTGGTAAACATCTTCATCACAGTAATCATGGTAGATAATGGTCTCCACGCAGCAGGGAAGTCCACGTAAGACATTAAACGTGTCTCGCGCAACCCGTGAAGACTTGTGGTCCGCATCAATGACAGCGGCAGAGAAATTCTGATCAGCAAGCGTGGCAAAAGAGCCCAAAAGAGAAGTATCCACGTGAAGCCGCACGATGTTGGTGATTTTGTTTCCGCTTTTTGTCAGCAGCCTGTCGGAGTTTACATGGAAGCCGCCATTCGGTGATGCTGTCGCTCCTGCAATGTCCCAGTACTTGTCAATTGCAACCACTACAGCGAAGTTCACAGCCAAAGCTGCAGTGGTTGTCCCTCCTCCTGCTCCAATGTCCAAAGCAGCTCTTGATGCATACTTCTCCGCTCTAAAGAGCTTTATAACTTCCTGCTTGAACTTGGCTGTTGTAAGCCCACCTAGGAGAGTGTCTTCTGCGAGGTCTTCCCAGGATCTGTCGGATCTGCACCCGTTTAGCCCACTGATCAGCAAGGCTCGGAGAAACATCATGAAACATCCTCAGACTTGCAACTTGCAATACGCCACATAAAAGAGAGTGCATCTCAAATATGTTGCTACGTGCTGCTTGCAATGTTTGCATGGCTGCTAACTGTGCTTTGACGTGCTGCTTGCTGTGCCGCTTGCTGTACTGCTTGCCCTGCTGCTTGCCGTGCTTTCTTTGTTGTCCATCTTCTAGATCTGTACAGAAGAGCCGCTCTGGATCCGAAAGTCATGACTGTCTTTCTGCAGGTTTTGGGTCCTATCGCCGTGCAGGTAGAGCCTTAAGCCGTGCATGGCTCGTAGCTGGCCGCGGCTTGCTATCACAGCTTCTTTGCTGGAGCTAATCTGGCACAGACAGTTTTGCACAAGTGTTGCCAATTCTTGCTTCGACTGTGCAACACTCATTAGAGCCTAGAGCTGTGAACGGGTTGCATCAGCGTGTGCGGTAAAGCAGAGGTCATTGGTGAACCGATCTCTGCCACCTCTGGTGGCCTCGAGGAGCATGTCAACATCGTCATCACTTCTGGAGACACGTACCACGAAGGTTGAGGATAGCCATTCCATACCTTTGCGGCTCGCCTTACGGTCCTGGCCGGTCTTGCAGAGTTCGTAGCACTTTCGTCCGTGTCTTGCGCGCACGTGCTTGTGGATGTCTGCTTGTCAGATTCTGTCAGATCCTGCCAGCCTGAGCCTCTGCTCGCCTGCTGTGCGGCTGTCATCTGTGTTGACAACTGGTGGAACTTCTTCGACTTGTCTCCAGGTCATCGGACGCCGGTCCGGGCAGGTTTCCTGCTTGACACACAGGCCACTATCATCCAAGTAAGCTTAGGCCAGTCTTTTAAAAGAGAAGCCCTTTGCTGCTTGCAGAAGCTGGCCTGCGCTCGCACCGCCGGACGCGTCTCCATCTCCAGCATCTCCGCCAGGAGAACGATGCTTCCTGGCTCAAAAACGACTGCGCAAGGAGAATTGAAGCTTCTTGCCGCTAGAGTCTGGAGTCGCTAGAGCTGCAACGAGGCGAGACTTGTGTACAATTTCGCTGTCCCGAAAGGGGCCATAAAATGGCCCACACCACCATCGACTACCAGAGGCCAGAACTTCGAGGTGACCGGAGATCCCAAAGTCTTTCCAGAATGTGAGCTGTGAGATACGTGGGATTGGGGGGGGCTTCGGGAGGATGGCTTGAGAGTCACTTGAGAGGCTTCCAGATCTTCGATGTTATTGACCAAGGATGTGAGGCGAACCCATTGCCCATGTTGAGCCGAATGAGGCTCAAGCCGCGTCTGGACAGGTTGATCAGGGAGTTGTTGCTTTCCGTACCTGCGAAACCGTCTTTAGCTGCCTTGAACATGAATCTTGGATGCGGCAGAAGATAATTGTGAATCGCTGAGGACAGCTGTATGCAAGCGATGGCAAATCTTCACCTCGAATGCTCCAAACTTATGCCTGCTTGCTGGATACTGGATATCCTGCATTTCCTGGAACAATCAGGGTCAACCACAAACTTGCAGGATCCAATATATGTTGAACGCGCATGCTCTAGACTGTAGCCGCTGTAGCCGCTAGCCGTTTGGACACTCGCGTCGGTGTGTAGGAAGAACGCCCCTTCTTGACAGGATACGCCCGGAAAGTTTCAGCACCGTTTTTCCTTTTAATCTTTTCAATTACTTGCCACAAAGGATCTCGACGTGTCCTGCCCTTTTTGGGCGGCCTTTTGCCGATCATGAAATGAGCACAGACCCCTCACAATTGAAAGGCATTGAACTTCTGAGTCTGGCATGCGTCAGGTGAGCCGTAGTACGTATCACAGCTTGTTGTCAATTGCATCATCATACCACGAATACCGCTTCTCTGTTTGCAAAAAGGCTTTCATCTATTTGGTACAAAGTGCCAAGGCTTGCTGTATCTCAGCTGCAGAAGTGGCATTGAGTGCAGCCCCACTGAGCCTCAAAAATACCAGGAAACTTGGACAATCAACCAGGCTGACAATGAAAAAGGAGGCCAACGACCTAAGAAGTGCTGCTCGCTAACTTCTGAACAGAACCCCGTTCCCCAGTTGCATGTTTGCAGGCAATGTCGGCGCACGCGGCAAGCTCGCCCATGATGTGCGCAAACTCGCGTTCCACAGCCTCGGCTCCCAGAGCCGTTTCTGACAACCATTGAGGGAGACACGTTGCCGTCAAGTTCTGGCCGCGACTACCGACCCTAAAATCAGTGCCTTTCACTGACCGCTTACATCTGCAAACAGTTTGGTCGGTCCGCAGGTCAGCACCTTCCTGGGTTTGTCAGGAGATCTATGTTGATCAATCTGCACTCAGGACTGGGCCTCTATCTTATCTCTTGCCTGCAGAAGGTGCCTCGTCACCTCAATCGCAGTCGACCATCAGGCTTCGCGTCAGGCTGTTCACATCTGTTCACATCTGTTCACGCTCATCACTCATCCGCTCCACAGGACTAGACTGATTAGAGCGTGACTGAGCGCCTCGTCGACTTTGTCATCGACTCCAGGCTCGCAAACTGAATGGTCCACCTACCCGAAGCCGACAAAGCATCAACATCTACACTTCCACCGAGATGCCTCTGCCCAGTAACATCCAGCGATCCTGCCTCTTCAGCATGCTGCAGCAGCCTGCCTTCATCTGGCAGCTGATGTCTCTCTCTTGATACCACGTTGTATCCTGAAGTGACATGAAGAGTTCCGAGAAACTGCAAAACTGCAATGGCACCGGGAACACAGAAAGTACGCAATCAATGCACATCAACAAACAGCAGCGTGAACCACATTTCCGGGCTTAAGCATCTTGCGACACAGCTCCGAAAAGAAACGCAACTCCATGACTCTTAAGCACACTTCTTGCAAAGCGGCAGCTTCATGAGCCCCTTGCTTTCTCAAGTTCCGGGTAGCGCCGGGAGCACTGAGCACGGAGCGTGAGCACAACCAGATTCTGTATGGAGCGACAGTGAGTTTCTGTTGAAGCATGGGTTGCGCAAGACCCTCGACATATCTCCGGGAGGTTACATGGAGCCAGGGACGACATTGGAAAGTTTTTGACACTGCTTTCCCCAGCTCCCCAAGCTCCTGCAACCAACCAACTCGGCAAGGTTAACGCTTGAAGCGTTTGCAAACTGGGGAAATTGTCGAATCTTGCTTGTCTGGGTTGTGTCGAAACCCTCGAGGACTTGCAGAAGCCAGGCGAAAAACAGCTACCGTATGTCGCTCCAATGTCATTGATTGCTTTGTGCAATGTTGTTGGAACGGTGCTTTTAGCTACTATTCTTATGCGCGACTGGATCAGGCTGGTGACCCGTCAAGCCGTCAAGAAGGTTGGCTTGGTTTCGTTGTCCCTTCTCCCAGCAGCTCTTCGTGCAAGCTCCCGGTCCTTCTCGAGATTGGGTACTGGTCACTTCTTTGATTCCCATCCTTGGCTCTGGAGCACCCTGGTGCAGCTTCGCGTCTTGGTTGCAGAATGCCGCCGCACGTGAGTCTGAGGACTGCGACGAAACAGCTTGTGAGGGGGCTCGAGCCTCGGCATTGCATCCCACTGCAGCATGAGGCCGCGCCAGAAGCCACAAGATCTTGTGACAAGTCTTGGGGCTGAACGGTGGCTTTCAGGTCACTCGGAAATGCGGATTCGGTCATGTCCAAGTACTTCTGCACGCAGGCCGAGGCCTCACTTCTCCCGCATTCTGCACCCGCTCTCCCTTCCTTCCCCATCTTTCTTCCTGGCCTCGTGCTTGAACCGGAGCACAGCTTCCAAGACTGCTGGCAACGAGCCCCTGAACCAAACACAGCACAATTGGTTTTGGCATTGGGTCTCCCAAGCTATGGCTTGGCGCCCTACGAGAGAGGCCTCAACGATGCCTGTCCCTCTTCTGCTTGCTGCCTTGCAAGCGAGGCCGGAGCTGGAGAGGCCTGGCAAGGTTCTCAAAAATCGGCACCAGTGCCGTACTGCCAACATGCTCGGCCTGTGGCTTGCACGGCCAGACGAGGGCTGAAACAGGCCTTGGCTTTGCTCAAGCTGCGGCTTTGCATGGACGCGGCTGTAGACTGCTTCAAGGCTGTTCATGATCAAACCGAGCTCAAGGCTTCAACGCACCGAAGCTCCCTGCAACATGCACACTAAGTGTTTTCATAATACTTCTTGGCACTGGCTTCCACCTCCATCAACGCGGCCGACGCGGCCATGTTTTTCTGGACTTGCATTTGCCTGCACGATGCATGCTGCAAGCGACGTCTTAGCTTATCATGCGCACATCAGGCATCCAGCTCACTCATACAAGTAGATGTGAAGCAAGCTCCACAACTGGCCAGATTGCCCTTTGTAATCAGTGAAGCCTTGAAGCCTGGAGTCGTGCAAAGGATCGGCCTCACAACTAGACGGCGGAAGCATAGCAGCCTTGACAGGTCATTGCAAATTGCAAATTTCTCGGCCACGCTGCTTCGTGCACAGGTTTGAAGCTCTTACATCAAGTGTAACTCCACGACCCCACCCACCTCGAATGTGCTGAACAAAGCGGTTGCTGATCTGGCCTAGCACTCAGCGCTCAGTTGTTCCGGGGCGTTCCGTGCTCGTAACTGCACTGATGCCTCAGCCGCAGCAGCCGCTGCAACTCTGGCCCCTGTGCTGCGCCTGGCTGGGCAAAGTCCATACATGCATGTCCACACGGTTCATGGCATACTTGGCATCATGGCAACTCATGGCATTGGCTACGGCTACGTACAGCCTACAGCTAGAGACATCTAGAGGGGGATGGAAATCCAGACTCTCACGGCCCCTGAACACGATGCTTTCTGGCCTCCTGCCAGGCTGCATGACTCGCCGTGCTCTTTCACATTGCTACGGCTTCAGCCCTCAACGTCCTTGAGCCATGTTACAAGGTGAACATCGCAAGTGACATGTCGCAAGTACTCGCACGTAAGCACGCGGAGGACTAGGAAAGGCCAAGGGATGTTGGCCATAGCGCCAACAAATCGTCTTTGTCCATGGAGTGCAAACACGAAAGCAGTACCATTCATCCAGCTTCACTGGGCTTCACTGGGGGTGAGAAGGTGATCGCTCTTCGATCGCATGGAGCAAGCAGTGAAGCAGGCAGTGCTTCCACCCTTGTCGACTTCTATGGCAGGGCATTCTAGATCGATGTCACGGTGAGTGCCCAACGTCATGCGTGAGGTGAGACTGAACGCATTTATCAGTTTGTCAAGAATCTGGGCCTTGAAGGGTTTCAATCTCGCCCTGAATGGACATTATCTTGGCCTGCATGCCTTGGTTCGCATAACTGTGTAACAATGCGTAACTGTACATTTTGGCTTGCGGCTGCCGGGGCAGCGTAAGGATGTCAAACATGACAGAAGACTTATGCACAAGAAGCATCCGGCCACGGAGGAGTTTCTAGGACTGCCAGGTCTGCATACATCGCAGCCTCTGATTTTAAGTACCAGTAGCTACCTGTCGTTGCTTGCTTGGTCACATTTGTGCGGTCAAGAGGCTTGTCAGCTCGGACACCAGCAGGGCATTCTCGCTTACCATCTTTCCAACATCATCCTGTGTCGAAACCGTCAGCTGTGGGGTACAAATCCAAATCCTGCAGCAAATGCCTGCCTGCATGGAAGCCAAATCAAGTCCTGTGCTTCAAAGAAGCTTCGGCCAACAGTCAAAGTTCCAAGCATCGGCCCGACGTCACACCGGCCTTCCCCACTCTCTCCAACCTGGCATGCGGGCACACGGGCACCAAGCACCATGTCGGCGGTTTTGCTCAAACGGCTCACGCCTGCTGCGCTAGCTCCGTATTCTCGGCTAAAAGGGAGCGGTACCTGTCCACCACGTTCTGGGGAGCAAAAAGAGCTCGGTGGAGGGGGGCGGGGAGGGGGTGGCGACAGCAACAAATGCTTCGAAAGTCAGTTGGCCGCTGCGCCACGGGCGCGTGCCCGTGCAGAAAAGATGCTGGAGAGCGGTTGAGCCACCGGGGGCTTAGCCCAGAACTAAGCTGTGCAGAGGGAACCTGTTCTTGCCGACCCTCGGGATGCCTGCTTTTCAGCAGGTCGAGCGTTTCCCTCAGCTCCTTGTTGTCTTTCCGCAGCTGTTCGCCTGGATGTGCAGGGAAGCCATCGGAAGCCTGTAGAAAAAGATTGAAGACAGGGCCCAGCAGGCCCTCTTCACTCCCAGCCTACTTCCTCCGCCTGCTTCTGCAGGTCTTGCAGCTGCTCCGCAGGGACACAATCTGTCACCTGCATAGCCGAAAGTCGGTACGAGGCTCCAGGCTGCTCCGTCTCCGCCCCGCCTCGGAGCTCAACTTTGCCAGCATGTCTTCCAGCTTCTGGTCCTTAAGGTGCTTTTGCCACACTCTGCTCCGACATTGCTCCGTGCACCTACAAGTCCAGGTCTATCCGGGAGCCTGGCCGCGGAACCTCCGCTGGACAGTTCGGCGATCTAAGTCAGACACAATGACATCCCTCACCGAAGTTGATAGCACACTGAGAACCAAAGCTCTGCAGATCTCGGTGATCCTGCAAGGCATTGCAAGGCTCGCACCATCATCTTTTTCGTGACTTGCCTCTGAAGGAACTTGTACCTGCCGTTGCAAATTTACGCAGTGCGTCAGGGAGCACTTGCCAACGACTCAAGGGTTCACAGTCACATTGGGTCACGGGTCTTCAGGCTTGTCCTGGTCGACTCATACGAAGGTTGACAAGCAGGATCAAGCAGGCAGACTTCGAGTGCTCGGCCCTACCTTCATCAGGCTTTGGATGAGGAACTGCATGAACGAAGTGAGGCCGTGCTTCTCGGCAGCAGGGATGTGAGAATTATCACTGCAGATGCCCTGCTTCCCCTCCGTTCTGAACTCAGGAGTTGCCTCCAAATATGACTTCGCCTCATCCTCCTTCTTTTTTTCCTGCTCCTCCCAAACATACTGGCAATTACTGGTCTTTGGCACGCGCGACGGCAGCAGATTCCAACACATTTCCAACACCCTACGAACTACAAAAACCATGTAGACACAGCCTCGGCAGCGCTCTGCGAGACGTCAGCACCTGGCAGCTTAGCATCGAAGAACTTTGCTTACGCTGAGGCCGCTGAGGCCAGACGTGTACACTGAGTGTACACCGTGATCGTCTTATATCGTCTTTCAGGAGCCGCAGCTCTCTGGCACCTGCGCTGCTGAGCCGGAGACCAACCTGCAACTCCAAGATCAGCGCCCACAGAAACTATTGCAGAGCAATGGTGTAGCATGGTGTAGCATGGTGTAGCTAAAGCTCACAATGTCATGTTCCACAGCGCCTCCATTCCGGTACTGCCTTCCCCTTCCAGCGGCGACTCTAAAGGGATGCTGTACTCCGACCTGGCTTCCAACGACATGCGACATTTTGTATAATCTTTTGGCAAGGATTTCATCAATTTCTCTTCAACAAGGATGGAAACTGCGCCAAGCCCCCCCACGTGGATGAACTGCACGACACGCGCGCCGTACCCGCGACGTCGAGAATTTCCACCTCAGAAAACACTCTCAGGCCCAGCTGGCCTGGTCTTCGAAATGCGAAACGACTCTCTGCGCATTGCAATGCAGTGCAAACAGCCTTCACGGAGGAGCACTCCTGCAATGTCACGCAAGCGTTGAGAAGAACAAATCAGACTGTTGAGGAAGCCCGCTGCTTGCGTCTTGAGCATGCTGTCCTCGAGCTTGGTTGGGAATTTCAGTGGCCTTTGCAAGGCACTCGGCACCAAAGCCACCAGCCCTGAACAAGAAAGAAGGATTTGGACATGCGAAGGCCTGTCCAACTGGGAAACGTGAACTTGGCGCCGTGTACCTCGCCAGAAAAGCACCATGCCTGGGGAACACCGAAGAAAGAAAAGGGGAGGAGATGATCAAAGACTGATACGGTAAAAGGGCTAACTGCAAGCTAGGAGGAACGGCCGCCAAAGCATGACGCATGGGGCACTTCCTACACGGATAGAGAGGATGCTGGACCTGAGGATGCGACGCTCCAAAAAGACAGAAACACTCAGTAGCATCCGTAGGCATCCGTAAACACATCATGAAGCACGAAGAATCTCTTGGTGCATGGCGGAGGAATGCCATTGTGACGGAGAACCTCCCGAAAGCCACATTGAACAAAAGGTGCCTTCAATCAAGTCTTTGGTCTATGGCCTCTACTTCCATCGCGGAAAAAACAACTCTCTCGCTGACCCGCGCAGGCTTGGAGCCAAAGTGTGCTCTGCAAAGAGAGCTGTCTCGCTGACATGCTTTGATCACACAGCTGCGGCCGGGCTGCAGCTGATCCGATGCCCTTTTCAATTCTCGGGTGCTGTGCGCCTTTGACAGCCTCCACGCTGTGAGAACCGGGCCCCGAAGCGTCCGAATGCGTTGTGTCTCGTTGTTTTGTATGTTGTTTTGCAGGCATTGCAAGTTTCCGGCACTGACGTTTCGGGGCGCACAAGCATCTTGCTCGCGGCTGTGGCATTAGCTCTCCACCTGCTCAGCTCCATGATGTCGACGGCGTCCTCCCAGCCTGGAATGCACTGGAATGCACGACTGCAAAGCAAGGTTAAACCGGTGACCTATCGAAGAGGATACCGACGAGGATTGAGTTGGGCCTGAGCAGACTCGTCAGCGGCTGGGAGGGCAGCGAAGCCTCCACGTCCTGTTCAAATCTGTTCAATGTTTAATTTGCACTGCAGGCAGGGCGTACAATGGCTCGGTAGATTTGGAACCGTAATACGGTCCGTTCTGTGTTCTACGGGCAGCTGGCATGTGCACCTTTAGTCTAGGTCCCTTAGCACTTAGTTGAGTCTTCAACCATCCTTGCAGCAAGTCCGGGGTCCAGTTGCATGCACCCATTCCCAAGCGCCATTGATTTTACTGCGCCATCGCAGAAGGTCAGCTTTCTTGCTCTGCCGCATTCGACAAATTCGACTCGTCTTGGCCTTTGTTGCCTTCGTTCTCTTCCTGGTTGTCATCGTCATGGACACGAAGTGATGGCGCCTGGAAGGTATTGCGCGATGCTGGTGAACGGGCCTCAAGCTATGTTGCGAGATGTTAGAACCACACGCCTTCTCTGCGGACCCGCGGAAGGCGGCCGCAGCAGCTTCCAAGGCATCCGCTTCAGCTGCCCTGGGGATACAACCGAGCGTACCAGTTTGTATCAGCATGTGAGAACATGGCTTTTACACATTTCAGTGGCATCCCCGCCTGAGGCCTGCATTAACACCACGACGCAGCGCGGCAGCTCGTGCCTCCAACTCCGCCTCCTGCAATCCAGGGGCTCATTGGTTGTCGCTTTCGACTGGATATGGCCCTCGTGGCCACTGTCTGTCCTCGCCCTCTTCCTCTACCTTGCGCTTCTTCCCGGGCTTCTCGGAAGTGGGGCAACCGGCCTCCAAGATACTCCAAACTGGACGGAATTTTCTTAAAAGCAGAAAGATGAGGAAATATCATCAGGAAGAAAGATCAGAATGAGATTCGGGTCACCTTTGCCCAGCCGATCAGGTCCGCCGGCCGTGGGGAGTCCCACCAGATGGGTCCACCAAGGCGCCCAGCCTCTTGGGAGGAGCAAGAGATGCAGCCTGACACAGGCTCAGTGCTTCAGTGGTTCAGGCTCTGGCTCAGGCATGTTCATGTTCATGATGCTGTTCATGTTACTGTTTAAGATGAGGTATCTGTCGCTGCATCTCGCACCTGTGGCGACTGCCGGCTGCGCTGCACCGGCCTTCCTCAAGTGCAGCGGCACCCTACCTCATCAGGGCTGTTGCCGGCTTCGGCGACCACTCTCAAGCTTCTCTTTTTTGGAGTCTTAGAACTGATGTACTACGAAGCAGACGCCATCGCAAAACAACTCTTGACACAATCGCTCTGCCAAGGGTATCCGCTGAAGCTTCCGAGATGCAGATGGCTGTTGTTCCAAAGTTTGTATTTCTCTTGTCGATGGCCATGAGCGAGCAGAGATACTCGAAGCCCGGTTTCCGCCATTTCGCAATGAGGGCAGCATCCTTGGTGGGCTGCTCAGTATATGCCAAAGCAGGGCTTAGGATGAAAGGCTCAGGAGATGTTAGGAAGGTTCGAGGTTCGCCAGGACATGTGAGGAAGGGTATCATACTCCATTTACTCTCCCAAGTCTCCGCATGCTTCTCCTGCAGCAGCCAATCATAAAGCTCCCTCGAAATTGCCTTGCGATAAGCTGCGAGAGAGCAAGCCCGACATCAACCGACTGAAGAAGGGTTGCCGTAGTCCGCCGGCCTTCTTCTTGTAATAGAGCTCGTAGACATACCTGGTCGTTGTGTGCCAATCATGCATCCCCTTGCGGCTGGAATTGGGTTCGGTCCAACCTGGAACGTTCCCAGTGGATCTTGGTGATCTTCCACGTTGCCTCAACAGACTACGAGGCTGCGTAGAGTCAGATGCTTGAAGGAGATGTAAAACTCATTTTGACAATCTAGTGGCGCCTAGAACAGTGCAAGTCGGCCTCGTTTCGTCGCTTGCCTTCATGCGGCTCGTTCACTGCGTCTCGCCTGCAAGTCCAAAACGGTGGCAAGCCACCCTTGCAATGGGCTTTCGACCGAGGCTCCAGCATCTGATTTGCAAACTCCTCTAACTGTGGAGCAACGTCATCCCATCCTTCAGGGGCCTCATGAACGTGCAAAAGTCTCCGCAATCAAGCTTGCTCTGCAATCCGGCCTTCTTGGTGTTCAATGTGCGTATCCTGGGCATGATGCCCTCCTCATGAAGGCCTAGTGACTGTGAACACCTTTGAGCCCAAGCTCGAATCAGGCAGCTTCGACTCTCGACATTCACGGAGCAAACGTGAAAAGGATCAAGGATTTGCCATGGACTTCGACTCGACAGCCCCCAAGCCCCCCCAAGCCCCCCCAAGCCCCCATGACATCTGAGCGAGTCTTATCGAGTCGAGGCCTGAGACGCGTCGTTGGAAACGTTGTCCAAGGCATCCCAGAGCCGACGGGTGTCACGGGCCCGTGCCTGACTCTTCGCACCCAGATTCTCAGATTCTGATGCTGATAGCAATGGACATCAATAGACCGAGTATACCGTCAGTAAATCTGTTAAGCATGGTTGAACCCTCGTGTCCTGCCTCCATCTCGTGGCGGGCCAATTCCTCTACTGCCAAGAGACTTTGCTCAAGGACCTCAGGGAGCGATCTTGGGAGATGAGGGACCTTTTTAATTTATCGCTGAAGCCAAGGGATCTTTCAGCTCAGCAGTGCAAGCCAAGCCACGGTCAGGCGTTCAAAGGCTTTGCGCTCTCGAGCCACGATCCCCAGGAGCTCACGGCCTTGGGCAGCACGCTTCTATACGGCACCCCTGAGGCACTGAGAATGCGCTCTCGAAAAACTTCTTACAAATTGTCAAGGAGCGCTGGAGTTCTCGAGCTGCGCGCTCGCTCTCAAACCGCTCCTGCACATCCGTCGCAGAGAACTTGCAGCGAGGACTTGCAGCGAGGACTTGCGCGAAAGTGCCGTGCAAAAGAGCACCTGAACTGCTGCTTCTTTCAGATGGCGGGCTTGCTGGTCTGAGGCGAGCTTCCCCTCGAGGCTTGGCACAAGCTATGGAACAATGAACAATGCCTTGTGCACTGTGTGCACACCTTGTGTTCTGGATATGTTCGTGTGGAGCCTGGCAGCTGTGGAGCCGACCCGTAGCTGTCGCGGGGACAAGTTTCGAGTTTGGTGCAACTTCTGGTAGGGTGGCCGACGAAACAATCGAAACCCAAACGAGTCGGAAATCTGGAGACGGGTGCTCCAGGATGCTCCAGGTGGGTGCTTCGCAAACCGGGCAACGGGAGCGGCTCTCTGATGCTCGCGGAGTTTCTGATTGGGAAAGTTCCAGATTTGCTGTCTCTGATTCCCGCTGGCTTCTGATATGCTGGATCCCTGGATTCATCGTAGTTTCTGAAGGATTCAGCTGGTTTCTGACTCGGAGTTGCTGACTCGAAGTTTATGATTCGCAGGCTCGTTTCTGATGCTTTCTTTCTCTAATTTGGTGTAGCGTAACGTTTAGGTTTTGGTGTGGCGAGGACCTCATATTCTAACACGTTGATGCAGATATTGTTTCTAAACCCACTTGCCGGGACGGTACAGTAGCAAGTGGCAGCAGCATGAAACACCGCTGGCCGAGCCCGCAACCAAAGCTTCTTCCTGAGCCTGGGGGTGTTGATGAAACGTGGCGCTTCACAATTCGAGCAAGCTCGGGGCTTCGTTTGACAAGTTCTTCTTTTTTCGAGAGAGCGTTGTCAGACAGTTTCCACACACAGATGTCGCTCCAGCTGAAGGTCCTCTTCGGTGCAGCCCAAAGTCCTCAGGGCCGCTTCCCCTCCGGAGCCTTCAGTGAGGTCAGTGAGGTCTACACGGACGTGGCGTCGTAAAGCCAGCATCTTGGGCAGGAGCTGGGCGATCTCCTCCAGCTGTGCTGTCAACCGCCGAGCTTGACAGCCCTCGGAGAGCTTGATCAACTTCACCCAGGGACGAAAGGCCCCGAAGGCTCTGCGATTCGAGCTTTCTACGGAACGGCTCCGGCCCGGCCCAAACTCACCTTCTAAGAAGACGCGCTCACGCTCACCACGCTCACCTGGCGGGCTGCCGCTTTCACTGCCGCTGCTGCCACTGGCGTCGTCCTTGCTCTCATCCTTGCTCCCGTCTTTGCTAGATGTGCGACTTTGAGGCTTGTCACCCTTGTCGCCGTGGTTTGCATCTGGCTGCAAGCTGTCAGGCAAGTCCTGCAAACCGCAGGCCCGTCGGTAGAGGCGGCCGCGTTTCGGGTGCCTGCTATGAAGGCCCTGGCTGGCGAGCTCTGCAGCACTCATCTCTGCTTCTGTGTCTCCGATGGAAATCACATTCACCAGCCTTGCTGAGCTCGAGCACATCGAGCGCATGTTCATGTTATGCATGTTGTGCATGTTGTGCATATTCTGCATGGTGTCACTCTTGTCCTCGAGACCATAGAGGTGGTCCAGCTCAGTCAACGCACCAGCCATGGCTGCCCTCTTCCACAGCATGAACTCCCCTTGCTCGTCCACAAACGGAAGGTTCAGACTGGCATCGCAGTAGGCCTGCTGGGCGTAGATGACTTTGATCGGGTGTTGAGAATGGATCGAATGTACACCGATGTGAGTACGAAGCTTGGGCAACCATCTCTTAATCGTCTTCTCCACCCATCCCGGAACTGCGTTTGTGACAATGCATACCACTCCGAGCGACTGAGCTACGCGTATCGTCCGGATGCAGGCGTTTTGCAGGTCTGCAATGAGTTGGCGGACATGTGGCTCGTCTGGCAGCGGTTGCTTGAACCAGCTGGGTATACTGTCGCGCCAGTCCTCTTCTGTCTCGAGGCAATCATCGCCCTGGTCAAGCCATTCTTCCATGTCCGCAAGGTGTTCCTTCAGCAAACTGCGGATCCAACTGGTCGGGCAAAGAGTATCATCCCAGTCGAAGAAGATGATGTTCCGCCGCTGGGGGAATGCTGCTGGTAAAGGCCGTGGCACCTTGGCTACCTGAAGGATGCGTGGCCCAATTGCAAGCATCATGTCAGCTGGGATCGTGTTGCATCGTGAAGGGCGCCTTTTTGGCTCCGTTTGAAACAGAAGCTGCACAGCGGGCTCTTCGGTCTCTGCTATGCGCATGGTCATTTTGCTGGAAGCCGATGGCGGGGTGCCGCTGCGCCCATCGTCATCTAGAGGCGGGGGCACCATGGAGGACCGAGAGGTTTTGGAATTGGAAGACAGTTGAAGGGCCAGACCGCGTCTGGCCCCCAAACCTCGGGAACCCGAGCCACCCGAACCCCTCAAAAGGTCGCCGTCGCTGGGCGTTCGAAAGCCCTGATCTGCCCAGGCCTGGCGGGCAGCCTGGGCAGCTGGCGAGCGCAGCGACCTCAAGTCGATGCTGTTGCTGGATGTTGGAGATGCGGTTGTCCCCGTCTCCGCCCCCCGCAAAAAAGGAAAGAACGGGCTCTCGAAGCTCTTGTCGCTGGCGGTTGGAGACGCATCGCGCTTGGACTTGCTGGAGCTGGTGCTTATGCCGTGGGCCTCAGGGCCAGCTGCTCAGATGTGCTCTCAGGAAACTCGTAGGTCTTAGGACCTTGTTGGACTTGGTAACTTAGGACTCCTAGATGAATCAACAAGCACGCGTGAGGTCAGCTGAGCCCCTGACTGATCTGGATCTGGCTAGCAACTCCTCATCAGAGCTCTGACCAGGCACCCACACCTCATCTTCCTGCTCCTCAAACTCTTGCTGCCTATACAGCGGCTTAGCAGATTTCTTCGCGAAACACTTCACGGCTGAAGGTCGCCCGAAGGAGGGTGAACTGGATGAGCTCTTGACTTCGATCTTGGCGGCAAGTTCGTGCCGTGGAGGCGTCAAATGTGTCGAGGTCTGTCTGTGTGAGAGTTTGGCTTCTTTGGGCACTTCTGCCGCCAAACTTGATCCAGTGAAACTCTGGTTCAATGCAAGTACTTCTCGGGCAGACTGCGAGATCGGAAGCACCTGTGCTCTTGATGGTGCCAAGGAGGTCAAAGTAGCTGTCATGGCATCCAAGGCCTGGGCCACTTCCTGGGCAGTGTCTGCCTGTGCCCATGAGGGCTTGACACTACCATGGCCACCATGGCTTAAATAGCTTGAGCTTGTCCATGGCTTGCGCCTTCGGCTCAGCTCGACAGTCAGTACATCTTCAGTCAACTGCTGCTTCAGCTTCACCGCGCTTCGCTCGCTTGCGTGAGCCGGAAGGCTGGGAAGGTCAAACTGCTGCGCGAGCTGTGGATCGCCCAGATGGAGAAGCACATCTGGGAAACGCTGGAACAATCGCACGACGCATGCTTCCTTCTCCTCCTGAGAAGTCTCTTGCCAAGTGAAACCCTTGGCCATGGCGCTTGTATTCTGTTACTATATACATGCTGCGCAACGACGAGCAATGGCAGCGGCAGTTGCTCCTGCTTAAGTTGCAATATGATGCAAAACATGCTGCAAGCATTACAATCCAACAACTCTCGCCAGCACTCTCGCTGTGCGCATGAGTTCGTACAGGCTGGGTCTAGGTTCATCTGGGGTCGGGACGTGCATTTGCTCTTCGAGTGGCAGAATTAAGCGCTGCACTTCTTCGACACGAATGTCCATCTGACACGCAGCGTGTCACACAGCCAAGACTCGGGCTTCCGGGCTTAAATCCCTCGAAGCCGAAGCGGGGCCTCTGTCCGATGCCTTTCCGCCAAGATGGCATTCTCGTGCAAGCGGTCGTGCAAACTGTCGTGCAGGCGTTGCAAATCGGCTTTGTGCTGTTCCGCGGACTCCGCGGCAGCAAGTTGCTGTGCCTCACATTGCATATATTGCATCAGTTGCAGCACGGAAAGCACTTGATGCCTCCGGCATATAGGCGCTGTATTCTGCTGCATACAGTGCTATCATGTGCCATCTGCATGCGACATGTACGGAGCAGAGCCTGCAAAGTCTCAAGCCTTTTGCTGGCCTCTCCCAGCCTGCACTACATCAGGTGCAGAGGCGTACTTGCTGCATCATGCGATACATCATGACATAGGGTCCCACTGGTTAGCAAGCTCGCCGACATCTGAAGCGCTGCGCTGAACAGCCCCCAAGATATCTTCCAACCTTGGATCGGAGGCAGAAGCAAAGAAGAGACCCCTTTTCACCGAGGAATACCGAGGACTGTGCTGCGTCGTTAAAGTCGCCTCAACCTCTCGCATGCCTTCAACGAGGAGGTTCAGAGGGATGTGCTCTCATGTGCTCTAAGCGGTGCTCTCATGTGCTCTCATGCATCTGTCTTCGCACGGATTTGGGCCTTGCTTGACGTGGGCAGTATCCGCCTCTCGGACCTTCTGCTCCTGCCAGAATCAACATGTCCACATCACGGAGAGTTCATACAAGGCTTGAGATTTGCGATTACAAGCATCTACGGCTTCATGGGCATAGGAATCAACCTTTTAAGTTTATTGCCTGCGCGTACTGCAGATTGTGCAGACTCTCGAAATCTCTACTGATACAAATCCAGAAGCTACACGTACGCAGCTTCGCAACCCCATCCAGTCTGGGCTGACTTGTGCCACGCGTGCTCCTCAGAAATCATGCCAGCCAACTGCTCCACGCGAGACCTTTGATAGATTTTAGATTGGTGACTGGAACTCGATCAGCTTCATTACGACCGCATGCGCGAAACAAAGTGCCAAACGACGTTTTGGACACCTCTTGTGCAGCACGAGTATAGCTGCCCTGGGCGGGATGGGCACAACGTTGAATATCAAGCCTCTTGAAAAGCAGCCAGCATCGCAAGAGGCGGAACAGCTGATGATTACAGGTTCCTATATTGGCGCGCAAGACCGTGCCATGCTGCCTGCAGAGACTCGACCGCATCGTGGTTGGCATCTTGCCGAGTTCGCAGAGCCTGTCAGGGTCTCCCGCATTCACACTTCTCTCCTCAGAGCAGCATGCCAACGCCTTGTTTCACCGTAGAAGGTATATCTTGATGGGGGGGAGACTTGCCAGGTGAAATGCTTTTTTCATGCTAGCGCTTGCAGATCCTGTAAGGATAGAGGTCTTTCATCAAGCCTACCGACCTGGCACTTGTCATCAGTTGTCTTGGACGACTCAGCACTTAGCTTGGATGCCTCTCTGCCTGCTCTAGTATCCGACATCTATCGTCCATAATGGCATACGTCAACGTTTCTGTCGTGACTACTTGCCAGGCTATCAAAAAGCCCCACGTTGTTCGCGTTCAATGCCCCACCGTCGCTCAGGTCAGCGACTTGTGACTTGTTGGACTTGTTGGGAAACTTCGTTGTGTTGCAGAGGTGCAGCGATCATTCTCTCTCTCTTTAACTTTCTGTTCTCAAATCGCTTTCGACTTCGGTGGCCCTTTCTACTTTTGGGTGCTAAGCTTGCCCCCCCCCCCCATTACTCCTGCGATTTGCCACCGCGCGAAAAATTCCACCTAACCTCTGTATCAGAATCGCACCTCCAGGTCTCCTTTCTGCTCGCTTAAGCGTGCATCCATCTCTGGCCTTGGTGCTTCTCACGATGTGCTGCTGTGACAATCTGTCTTGAGGCCGCTGCAGCTGCTCCAGGATCTCCGACAGCCTCTCTCGCAGCGCAGCCTGTAGCTTGATATGGGGCGTTGCTGGGCTTGGCTGCTTAGCGGCTACTTCTCTCTTGCTCCGCAGCGCCTGAGCCCCGGCGAGCTCTGCGTCGAGAGACTTCCTCAGCTCTGTGACGGCAGCAACCTCGCGGTATCTCGCGGTCATTGACATTCGTTGACAACTCAGACGTAATCTTTTCAGCAAACGCCCGCCTGTTTCAGCTCACATGTAGAAAGCTGTGCTTCCAAAAGCTTCAGGGCCTCGCATCGATGCAATTACTTCCGCCTTTGAAAGTAAGCTACCGGTGCTATGTAGCAACGGCCTCTGTGGAATCATTCTCCAGCTTGTCAATCCGGTGCTGGACGGTCGATATGCCAGAATCGCTGGAAGCCTGGCACTGCACGAATCATGTGGCAATCATCGTCGTTGCCCGCGCACATGTGATGTTGGTGTCAGACTGTCAAGTTGGTGTGCTGAAAAAGGATTGGAGAATATTGGAGAGCTTTTGATGCTCTTGGTGCTTGGCCTGCTTGGCTCGAAGACACGAGAAGGCACCAATGATCAGAACCGCGCCCCGGCCTGCACTGCAGCTATTCTTCCTGACAGCTGCTTGGATTCCAGACCCTGGCAGGACTTGCGTGTGACACAAGATGACACAAGGAATCTCATTGCGCACGATGCGATCCTGCCTGCTGCTGCTCAGTGGCACCTAGACGGCACCTCAGGTTCTCCAGCTCCTTAGAAGAAAACAAGGGTAGGCCACGAGCCGCACACATCCGTGCAATCATTGCAGCTGAGTGTCCACTTGCAGGTCTTTTGTGGCTGCCACTTGCCCGAGCTGAGCCTGCAAGGATTGGAAGGAAATCCCACCGGGCCGCGTCGCAACACCGATGTCACTCACCGCCTCTTTGGAGTCGGCATCCATCTTGTCAAGCCGCTGACGCAGTGCCGCGAAGTGGGACTCGGTGGATGCCTGTATGGACATCTGCAGACCCAAGCAATTCAATCTCTTCAACACATTTCCACATCAGAGATTATCGATGCTGTTTGTTTCATCGGGAACTAGCAATATCTGGATCTGACGGGCAGCCTCCAGTTTGTCGACGAGTTGTCGAAGCATGGACAAGCTGGACTCGGTGGACGCCTGCCACAGTGAATGCCGGGTTCTACTCAAAATGCGTGGAATGGGCGGCAATAGGTCCTTGCCATGCCATTGGCACTTGCGGAGCGGAGTGTGATTTGATGATTAAAATGCACGGTATATACCCTTAGACCCTACAAAGGAAGCCTGGCTCAAGCCAGAAGCTTATGGAATAGCACATGGATATGTATCTAATGGTTGCATGGCCCCACCACTAACCTACCACAATGCAGGTCAGTATGCTACACAAACCTTGGATTATGTGTAGATATGGCTGCCTGTATACATGTGTATATATATATATACATATATATATATGTAGATGTGTGTGTATAGTATGTTTTTCTTACATCTGGAACCCCCCCCCCCCCCCCCCCTTTTGCCCGTGTCCCAGGTCACCCAGCTGCACTACGAGCAAACTTGGGCATGCAATATTTGTGCTATAACTTTAACCAGAAAACTAAGCCAAAAAAGCCAATTCACTGCCTGCGCCGCAACTATTCTTCCCGACAACTGCTGTGACTCCAGATCCTGGCCGGATCAGCAACATGTGCGTGACTGCCATGGACTACTGCCGGGGAAGCATACCGTCTCAGTCGACTCGGAGGACTGAAGAGAACTGGGGAGTTCGGAATTCAAAACTGGATCGCATCGCATCGTATCCCTCGGATTCTCTTCGCAGGCGAAGCCAAGCTCGTGTCACTCACCCATGCACTTGGGGAATACCGGCTACTTCCGAGCCGGTGAACTCCACTTTAATTGACTTCAAATTTCCTGACGAAGTGATTATTTCCTGAATCGACGACAGTTGAATCAGGGAGCCCAGATTCGCTGCACCTGCTGCTGCTCGGCCGCACCCAATCGGCCCCTTAGGGTCTCCAACTCCTTGGGGGTACAATTGGCTTGGGGCTGGGGTTTTTTTTGTACTGCACTGCGACACGTCACCAGCCGCACACATCCGAGCAATCATTGCAATTGCAGCTGAGTGTCCACTTGCAGGTCTTTTGTGGCTGCCACTTGCCCGAGCTGAGCCTGCAAGGATTGGAAGGAAATCCCACCGGGCCGCGTCGCAACACCGATGTCACTCACCGCCTCTTTGGAGTCGGCATCCATCTTGTCAAGCCGCTGGCGTAGTGCCGCGAAGTGGGACTCGGTGGATGCCTGACAGTGTAAAAGTGCAAATCACCTCAGGTGAACGCTAGTCACTCGCCTTAGGTTGTCGTGCGTTTCGAGGTGCCACCCCGAGCCTTGTCAGCTGCCTTCTCCGCAGCCCAATTGGTTTGAGCCGCCTGGTTTGCTCATCACACTGCGATAGCAAGTCCACAGAGTATGTAGTATCGGTGTCTCCTTCATGTGATCTTCAAGTCGCTTCTCAGCCGTTGCAAAGTGCGCTTCGAGCTCTTTATGCCTGGCACCCGAGAATGTAGCCGACGCCACATGGACCGACACGCTTTGCAAGAATCGAGCGGCTGGCCGGCTGTCCACCAGCGCCCTCGATCTCTCGTGCAACTCTGCCTGCGCCTACAAGAGTTGCCAACTGTAAACCGAATGAAATGTGTCCAATGTCACCGCGCCAAGTGTTGATATCGGCCTTGGGAATCGCGCTGACTTGATCCTGCACAGAAGGCTTACGTGCTCCCCGTCTCAAGGTCAACGATGAAGCCAAAGCCGTAGGAATCGCTAACGAGAACTTTGGGCCGCCTCCAGACGCTTCAACAAGGAGCCCGTTGCATAGATCTCCTGGCACAAGATGCCGCAATGCAAACACGACACGGCTCTCCATGGAACAATGTACTGTAAAAAGGCCGAATAGCCCCGCATGACTGTGTTTTGACCATGCAAAAAGCCGAAAATCCGCAGCGGCGAATGCGAAATTCGGTCCGGACGTTTTGGGCGATGTCGGGAGAGAAACAAAACATGTCCCGTGTGCCGCGATCCCCTTCCTCAAATCATACCAAGCAACGCCGCGGCAACGCCCTCATTGTGGTCTACATATTCTAAACTAGACTCCCCTGTGCCCAAATCTTCGCCACATCGACTTCTCCTTTCGCCAACACCATTGCTGACGTTCGTGGTTGCTTTGAAGCAAAGCCGTTACACGCACATCGCAAATTCAGCCTCAAACCCTGAAACCCAAACCCCTCCTCACATCAACGTTGAAGTCCTACACGGCCCACACCCTGGGCCATACTCGGACTATGCAAGCCAAAAGGGGGAGGTGTATGGCCTAGGGCTGGCTGACAGCAGACGAGGCAGTGTCTCGTATGGCCTGGATGGGCCAGGACCTTGCCTGGCTCATGTGGACTTTCGCGGAAGAGTCGCGGGACTTTCGCAGACTTTCGAAATTTAGGGGCACGGCTTCTCAGATCGCATGCTTTGCAAAAATCGAGGCGTTCGAGGCTCTGGTCACATTTATGTGTATGTATATATATATATATTCTTTCCTATTTCTGTTTGTATTTATGCATTTGTTCGGCCGACCATTTGTCGATAGAGATCGTTTTTGGATTGGACTGAGGGGGCACATCACTCTTGTCATTGTCGTTTTAGCTCGCTTGCGACTATCTTTGGGCTCACTGCCAGTTTTTGGCTCACCTGCGACTCAAAACGGCTCTTACTTGGGACTGTCTTGGCCCGGACGTGCCTCCTGCTCGATTGAGGTTTTTCAAGCTCAGTTGCGCCTAACCTCAAACAACCAAGCTCAGTGCGACTCTTTAAACAACAACACTCGCCGGCGGACATATAGGGCTACATAGGGTTAGGGGGGTTTAGGGCTTAGAGTTTAGGGCTTATAGGGCTCAGGGCTTGGTCTCAGGATTCACTCGGGGCGAAGGGCCTCGGAAGCTTTGGGATAGTTTTCGTATACGTCTTGGGGATTTGCTCTAAACGTCGCACAAGCGAAGACATGCCAAGAAAACCATTTTGACAAAACGCTGGCATCAGAAGAAACAGTCGCAAGCGAGAGGAAAAAAGCACAAGCGAGTGTGGATTCGACTGAAGGCCTACACAGGAAGTCCAATATGTTTATTCCACACATGCACATGGTCAGCGCCGTGGCCTTCTGATTTTGAATCACCGTGGGAAGAGTGTTCTGAATCTGGTCAACTTGTTGGCACAAAGTGGCCTGAAGTACAACTCGTTTACAATTGCATTGACATGGTTCGTCAGGAAAGGAGCAACAGCTTGAGCAAGCCTGGCTGCCGCTGAGCGTGTCAGCTTGAGTAGAAAGCCTTGCAGGTCGAGAAGCATTCAGGCTTCCAATCTTGCCCGTACACATTCCTGTACACATCACTTTGCAGTCCGGCTGCGACTCGTCTCCTCCCTTTCACCATTCCCCCCGGTGCACAGAGGCACAGACCAAGGAATGTTAAGAAACTTTAGGAGCTTTAGGAGCTTTAGAACTTAGAGCTAGTTGTCTGAGTCATAGACTCATTCAGCACAATTGCGGTTCCCAATTCCAGATCTCCCAGGTGACGCGCAATTTCACAGTGCGGCTTCCAAGATCGAAGCATGACGTGTGCATGAAGATTGCGCGGTTCGGCCTCAGGATCTCTGTGTTTGCTTTTGCGAGGCTATCTTTGGCCTCACCGTGAGATCTCTGCACCTGCAACCAAGTGGGGCATGGGGGGAAAACGGGGTGGGGTGCGAAGGGATGCCACAGCTGGCTGGGCCTCCGAAAGATGTTGCTCCAGCGTACGCACACAGGTACCGAGCGACTGTTGACCACCTTCCAATGATTTCCTCGCAAGATTCACGGTTTAGCTTAATCTTGAGAGCTGTGAGAATCATCCACTTGTAAATATGCGCTGCATGTCTACGCGATAGCTGCTGGTACACATTCTTCTATGGATTAGGCACAGTCCTCACTCTCCGTTTCTGGAACCCATGAAAAGATGTTATCGTACAGTTCATCATCACAGTCAGCTGTGACTAGCATGCTTTGAAGGCCAGCTCTGCGAGTCCGACCTTTAAGCACTCAATCTGCAATATCTGCAAGTGTAGCTTCAAAATGTGAGCATGTGAGGTGAGCGAGACCGGTCTTCTCCTGCTCTCTTCCTGTGCACTTTGTAGGCTGCGGATGAGTGCCTCGCTCTCAGAGATATCCGTGCTGCCATCCTTGAAATTCTGTTAGGTTTGCGGCCGAGTTCTCCTCACCACGGGCAAGACAGGGCTGAAGATCATCGACTCTCGCATTCAGGTCCTCACGCGTCAGGCCGCCTTCTCGAAGCTTTGGCATCTCTGCAACGAGCATCAGAAGCTTCAACTTCATGATCTAAGGCTGGAACTTCGAGGATCTTCTCCTTGGAAAGAAGCCTGGCTAGCTCCTCAGACCTGGGCTTAGCATCTCTCTCCTCAGCAACGCACTGCCTGCTTCGCAGACTGCTTCAAGTTCAGTTCGGCCTTTGGGAGCGCATGGACTGGACAAGTCTTGAATGGCCCACACCAACCTTTTCAGGCTTGTTCCTGGCTTATCGAGCTTAGGCTTAGAAAGAAGAATATGCAAAATGCTCCAGAGTGCCCTCAAACGACCGGGAGTCAAAATAGTAAAATGAGTTTATAAATGTTTGACGGTTGGTCTGACAGAACCAATATTGTATACTTACCACGAGGGATACTGCTATGGGTTTTATTGTTTGATAACTCAGGGACGTGTTGGCCATCTGGATTTCCCTGGCCTCTTGACTTTGAGGAGGGAGCCTAGAAACCACTGGCTATTGTTGCACGATGCCAAACCTGCAGCATAGCGGAAAGTACGGGTCCAGGACTTCTCGGATGATTGTCCAAATCACGCTTTGCTTAATTCGAGATCGAAAGCGAATCGCGAATCCGATCTGGCTCAATTCTGCTTTTCTGGTGCTTGTTTTTGATTGCTTTGGCGCAGAAAAGTCTTCTGTGCCCTCAGAGTCTGCACTGAGCCTGTACTCCGTTTGCTGCCAACCAAAAGCTGCTACTGACATGAGAGTTGCTTTGATGTTTTTGGTGTGATCCTCGGTGTGCTTCCTTACAATGCACAAATCGAACCCCGATTGCCGGGCAATGCTAAGCTGGGAGCATGGATGCTTGGCGTAGATCCACGGTGCCAATCCTCTCCTCCAACCGACTTTGCAATTCCGCATGTCGCGCCTGAGTTTCACCAGCCATGTAGAGTGTGGAGTGGTACAGAGCCCGGCCAAAGCGTCACCCCACCTCTCCTCCCATTGTCTAAGCTCGGGACGTTCGCCTGCGTGGCTTGCTCCATTGTAGAGTCGAGGACCCTGATTCGGACCAGTCTCAAAGTGTCTCCAACAGTATGAGCATCCATTTTGGGGCTGAATCCTGGGAATCGGTCCTGCTGTTGGATTGGAGCCTTCGCAGCTCCTCGTCGCATGCCTGAGGACTTCAGAAGCTAAGTCTGAGTCCTTGCGAGTCCTACAGAACGTCTTGTGCAACATTGTGCAACTCCGGCCTGCTTGTCCTGTCTTGCCAATTGGCCGGCCGCTATCACTTGGGCCTCCAAACCTGCCAAGAAGGAAACGTCTCTCAGTTTGTACGAATGCTTTTATACTAGCATTATTCAGGTCCGCACTGCTCACACGCTGCAGGCAATCAGCGAAGCGCTCATGCCAGCGCTCCTAGGACATGTCAAAACTTTCTGAACAGTCCTAACTGTCTCCAGACCCTCACGGATTGAGACTGCAAGAAAAAACTGCGCAGCTTGCAAACAACGTTGAGACCGTTGACAGTTGAGCCGTCCTGATCCTGCGTGTGCTGCTTCAGTTGGTGGGCCTGGCATCAACTATGCCAGTTACTATGCCACCGAGGCGGTGAGGCTACGGGCACAAGGGCCTAAGAGCCTAAGGGCCTAAGCCTCAAGGCCTAAGGTGTGCTGGCACAGTAGCCTTTTAGGTATCCCAGACCCGATGCCCCCTCCCCAGGTAACGGTGCGTTCCGAGTAGAGGGCAGATAAGTGACAGTCGGTGTTCCAAATTTGTTTTGGGGGACACGGGACCAAAGATCCTCAGCTAGTCATGGACGGCATTTGTGGAACCTTCTGAAACTGTGGGCATCCTGCCCCCCCCCCGCCCACACCGCATCACACCGCCCCACTTCCAGGAGCTCGGCGCAGTTTGAGATTTAGTTGGAGGAAAATGAGGAAACAAGGACGCTCAAGGAAACCCCAAGCCGATTTCCGAGGCGGGTGCCCAGGTTGGCGTGCAATGGTCTAAATCGACTAGGCCTCTTAGTCTCTAAGTTCTGCTAATGAAGTGGCTAAAACGCTTGGCTTTTGATGTGTTGCTTCTTTTTGTATTTTCAATTTGGTACAAAGCCGGGCATCGCTCAATCCAAGCGCCTCTTTCAGTTCAGCGAAAGCCTTGTCCAACATTCCAAGCTGCAGATTCGCCTCCCAAGCAGGCATGAATGGAATCGAAAAGCATATGCGTGCCCTCAGCGATCCTCTGCTTGCGACGTTTCCAAGGAGTTGACCTGCCTACCTCAAGGCACCATGCTTCACCCTCACCATTTCTCGCCCACAGTGCAAATTCCACAAAGCTCGCGGCCAGTTGCAGCTCTGTCTTCATGCATCTGCTTCTCCAAGTCCTGCTTCGCAAGAAGACAATCAGCTAAGCAGCCCTGCAAAATCCACAGCCCACCTGTGCCAGCAGAGTTGTCTTGTCACCTAGCTGCGAAACCTCGCTGTTTGCAAAGCATGGTGAATGAGCATGCGACTGGCACTTACTCTACAGCTGGCCAGCCTTTGCATCCGTTCGAGTGGATGACTCCTGTTCGACAACTGATTGGAATGACACTGAGCCTCCGCTGGCCTCAGCTCCTGAAAGCACCCCAGGCAGCTCTCGCCTCCAGTGACACGTTCTTCTGCTCGGCCACAGCCAGTCTGGTCCTCAGTGCGTCACAAAATCACTTACGACCTCCTGTCTTCTCTGTGCACGTATCCGGCGAAGCCGATGGGCTCGGCAATGCTCAGTTTCACGCATCAACTCGCTGGTCCTGTACGGAGCTTCGGACTCTAACTTGATCCAAGTTTTCTGTTTGTCTGGTTTCTGCAAATTTCTGCAAGCGCTTCATTCTTCTACAAGAGAACCGAGATGGGCATTTGTGCCTGTTCTGCAGATCATCACGGAATCCGTTCAACAAGCGGGCCTGGAATCGGGCAATGAACCCTGTGCTTGACGCATGCACGCACGAAACGTGTGCCTGCTCCTCCCAAAGTTTCGTGTTGCCCTGCCACTTGCCACATTCCCCGTCCCACGTTCAGCACATTTCAGCATTGGTGCAAAATGGCTGCCTCCTGATTGCCGGCCAGCCCCTGGACTCGCTCTGCAAGTTGGATCAGATCCTTCTTGGGCCTCTGGCAATCTCTGGCACGACACCGTACAAAAGGCTTCACTGCCTGATGGCTAACTCCACCTGTCAAACTTCGCAACCGTTGAGCACTTTCTTCGACAGAAGACACGGGTGCAGAGCATGCGCAGCGAGGGCGAGGGCGAGGGCGAGGGCGAGGGCGAGGGCGAGGGCGAGGGCGAGGGCGAGGGCGAGGGCGAGGGCGAGGGCGAGGGCGAGGGCGAGGGCGAGGGCGAGGGCGAGGGCGAGGGCGAGGGATCAAACAGGACAAGAGCAGGAGTGAGAGCGGACAAAGGAAGGCCACAAACTTGCCAGGCGTGCACTGCATCTTGCATTGTGTCCTTCCACGTATGCATGTGCAACATATGGAATGGCCAATGGGATGCGTGAAGTCCTTCGTCCGCTGATTCTGCAAGCCCAGATCCACCATTGCCTTCTTTCCGCTGAGTTGCAGCAATGCTACGCTATGCAGTACACAATGAACATTGGGAATACCAATCACACCAGAAACAGCCTTGTTCAAAGCCTCGCACCTTCTGTTCACCTTGCCAGCTTACACAAATCAACACAAAGCTCCGCTCTGTGTGTGTGTGTGTGCCATTGACCTCCAAGAGCTCCTGACTCTGCTCAGCCTGACAGACGTACTTAAGTTCTCGAGCATTGCAAGCAAATGCAGACTGACAAGATGCCTGAGACTGCTGGCAGGTCTCTTGTACAAGGTGCTCAAACTGCACCTCTTGTCAACACCAGGTCGGGACATGTCGTGCCACCATGACACTATAAACCATCGTAAATCAGGCTCTCACCTTCGCAGCCTCCAGACTGTGCAATTGCGCAGTCGTGTCCTGACAAAGGCAAGCTTTGCATCTAGTGAAGTGCACTGTGGAGGGACCCGAAGAATGGTGGCCTGTTGTAGCTCTTTCATCTCACGGCCTGTTCATCGCAGACGGAGACTTTAAGTGCAATGACATAGCACGACGTAGGCGAAAGACAATACCAGCTGGAGGAGCCGAGGAGCCTAGCTTGTCCTCGAGCCTCTCCAGCCTCTTCCACACCTGGCGAAAATCGGCCCGAGACAATTTGGAACCTCGGAGTGCTCTTTTTGCTCTTTTTGCAGATCTTTTTCCGGTCCGTCCTGGCTGTCGCGCAGGGCCTCGGCCTCGGCGGTGCTCTTGGTCAGCTTGGCCACGCTCTCTTGCGCTGTCCGTGTGCTGGACTCCAAGCGGCCTGTCCGACAAAGGTGTACCGAAGGTGTGACAAAGGGGTTGCACATGAACGAACTATATTTCTTCAGGACTCGTTCTGGCCTTGGAACTTCTCCACCTCCTCCTGTTGCATCTGCAGCTGATGTGCAAAGCCAGCCACTCTCTCGTGAAGTCGTCGTTCAGCATCAGCTCTTTCAGCCTTCTCCCGTGCAATGGCCTTCCCAACCTCCTGTTCGATCAGTACAGTCATCTCAGTCTTCGCTGCACTTACCACCATTCTGAGCGTAAGCATCTCTTGTCGCATTGCAGCAACATCGCCTTGCGAAACAGACTGATCCCGGAGCTGACGAAGAAGCTGCTGGAAGTTCGCTGGATCCACATCCTTCTCCGTCTGTGGGCTCTCACCGCACCCGCGACCTAGTACTCCAGGGAGACTGACACCGTGGCTCGCATAGCCCGCCATATCCCACCATCATCCAACATGAGCATTTCTCAAAGCCAAACGGCAACAGGGATTCGGCCACACGTTCGCACACCTTTGGGAGGAGTGGGGAGTTGCATCTTCGTCCGCGCACAGTTGAAGTCGCAGCCTCATCGTTTGTTGACCCTCGCACGGGCAGACATCTTGATCTTGACGCATAAAAGATGCACCGTGGAAGCCTGGACTGCACACTTCCAACACTCGGAGGGCGCGACTTGCTCGCACATGCTCCGAGATGGACTGTGAATAGCTTCCTCTTGGTGAAAGTCAAGCTGAAAACTGAACGTTAACGGGAACTTTGGGGCGTGAGCAGAGATGGAAGCCTAATCATGCTTAACGTAACCTGATCAACATTGGCATGACATGACTCGGCCAGTGCTCTGCTCCTGTCCTCGATTCCGTCTAAGATAAGCACAAGCTAGCCGATTCTCAGTCTAGGGACGAGGATCCATAACGGCCCTTCGACATTTTGGCCATGTCACTTTGATCCTGCAGAATCTCAACATTCAACCATCTCTAAAAACATCGAAGACAAAAAATGAACCTCATCAAATCCCTGCTTGCTTCCTCTGCAGACCACCAATCCGGCGGATCGCCTCCAAAGATGCCTGAAGCCTTGGGGATATTTGGGGATCATGGAAAGCGGAATTTTGTAAAACGCTGCAACAGAGAGCCTCCCCGCACCCCCGCTCCCTCCCTCTTCTACCGGATTCTGGTCCACGTCTCAGAGCCTCGCTGCCTTTTTGCGGACAGCTTCCGTCCCAAGGATGGGCTCCAAGAGCGACCTGTCAAGCGCTCACTATAACCGACTGAGCTGTTTTCTGCTTCGTTTTCTTCGCAAGTCTCTTTACGTGAAGAAGTGAAGATGAGAAGTAATCTTCGAAGTACTCTGAACATGTACTTTTGTTCTAATTGGGGCCCCCTGCTGTCCTTCACATTTCCCTTCTCACTCGACATTTGGTCCCCTCCTCTGCTTTCCTCTTCCTCTTAGCGGGCTGCCATGCAATAATGGGGGGACCAGGGTTTAGGCCCTTCTTCTGCACGCTTAAGGGATGCCCCCCAATGCCAAATGGCACCAGCCCGTGAGCTGCTGACAAAACCTTGCGTTTAATCAACGCTGCTGGGCTCCTACCGGTTCTCGAGGATTAGCAATGCACCCTACAGCTAGAGACTGACAGGAGCTCGAGGGCCCCATCGCCTCGCAAGGAAACGTACGAAAACCCAGAAGGCATGCAACAAGATGGTATCGACACAAGTTTTCTCCGGTGCTCATACGTAGGCAGATGGAAATGTTGGAGGAACTTCCCGATGCTCATGCTTCTTGTTGCACGGCAATGCTGGAACAGATGCATTCAGGACAGGCCAAAGAATTTTGAGCTGGAGAGAAACCTCGTTGGACAACCTCTTTGCGGCCAAGTGGCTTCAGCTCCTCCTGGAAGTCAGGCCGGTTCCTTAATGGAAATCAGAGCGACCCGCTAGCCATCGTGCGCATGGATGTAGGTGCCCAGCTTGTGAAAAGTCGGATCCTGGCAATAGTTCAGCTGTGGAATTTTTCGCGAGATGGCAAATTGGCCGGCAGGCCGCCGAGAAGGTAAACATCCTCGCTGTGGTGGCCTGTCATCTCTCCATGCACAGATGCAAGGCTTGACACCAGCACCAACGGCTGCAAAATAAGGAGGCGGCTCTCAAGAAGACATCAGGATTCAGAGTGATCCGGACTTGTCCTTCGATCTTAACATCCTGCGCACCAGCTTATGGAATGGCCGGACAAGAGCATTCAGCAGCACTTCACCGATTCACACCCCAGCTCTTCTTTAGCATGGATTGAAAAGGGTGCTACCCGGCGCTCCATCCGTGGGTGCCGTTGCTCTCTACTCGGGCCACACCCCGCATCCCCAAGGCTGGAGCGATGGAGCTCGTGACTTTGGGGTCATTCCGGGCTCATTTTGGGGAGTTTCGACTTCCATGTTTCTATATCTTCTCTGCCTTGAAAGTGGCATGCTCGGACTGCCATGATTCTTGGGGCAGGCGGTGCTCCAGCGTTCAGGTCTGCGCATGGGCCTCATCTGGAGCCACTCAGCTCTGATTGCAGTGCCACACAGTGCCCTTTTCCCATATGAGACTTGGAAGGATTACCCCAGGCTTGGCAACATCGAGTACAGAGTTGAAGAGGTCAGTACCACACATCCACAAGCAACTTGCAGTGAGGCCAGTGACTTGGCACGCCAAGCACAAGAGCTGGTCCTCAGTCAAGTACTTGCCCAAGGTCGGCTTCATCCGCTTCTTGTCAGGCACTCCAAACGGAAAGGATGGATAGACCTCATTCCAACACCCTGTTCAAGCGCCTTCAAACAAGCCTAGAACGAAACTGTACATGTGAAGTCGCGCACATATTCATCACAAAGTTCTCTCCTGATCCATAGCAAGGATGCTTGAGAGCCAATCGATTACTTTGGCTGACATTTGTGGCTGAAGAGCCGGCAATCAAGAAGCAGCAGAGCTCCTCAAGAAGATCTGCAGCATGTGGCCCGATCGGCCTGACCTTGATGCCACGGCACATCAGCGGCGCATCTGAGGTTTACGGCTGTCTCACTGAGCAGCACAAGCCCTAAGCAGCAGGGCTTGCATTTCTTGCCGCCAGGTATGCCGCTGCAGTCCAATCCAGACCTAGGGCACCCACGAATGCCGACGCACTACTTCTCTTGGCACATGCAACTGCGGCCACTGAGGCCACATCTTCACTGCAAGCGCAATGATGTCTGCAGCGAGTTTCTGGCAGGGTAAGTGTATCGCAGGAGGTTGGTGCACCTCCCTAATCACATTGGTGTTGGCAAATTGGGCGTTGGCTCCGAATTACAATGATGGAGCCCTGAATCTTTGTCGAGTTCGGAGCAATGGAGACAGGACAGCACCGGAAAACAGAAATGTCAAGCTGTGAGGCAACTCTACATGGTGCAGTGTCCACTTACTAGGCAAGTGAACAGACTGAGAGTGCGTAGGGATTCTCGGCATTACAGTAGGAGCCTAAACACGGAACACCGCAAAACTGCCAACTTGCCTTGATCTTGCCAGATGGAACGCCGCAGCTTGTGAGCAGCTTTTCCAGTACACCCTGGCAAAGACAAAAAAGCCTCAATGACTTCAGCACATGCAACGTCCCCACGCAACGTCGTGCGGCGACCTTGAGAGGCCCCACGCTGTATCCAGCAAGGAAGACGGACCTGGTTCGAAAATGTTCGAAACATGTCGGAAGTGTTTCCACATGTCTGCAAGCCAGCCTCGCGATCTTAAGCTGCGAGCTTCGCTGGCGCCTCCGAATCGTGCGCGAGGAGTGACGAAGTTCCACCTGTGACTGCTGCCCTCGAAACATCCTCAAACTCTCAACTCATGTGGCAATCTTCCCAGGATGTCCCGGGCCGAGCCCAACGCACAATCCCACAAGCCGAAAGGCCTCTGCAACTCAGATCTTTAAAGTTGCAAACTGATTGCATCTGTGCATTGCAGGCAACCGAAGCCAAGATGGCCTGGTTGTGGTCCTGGTCCTAGGGTCACTGTCTACCTTTGAAAGGTTGCCTCGTGCCTCACTGAGTTGTTCACTGCTCGATCTTTTCATGCGGAATCAAGACTCACCGGCTCGTGTCCTTCCACTTTGGAAACTCCTCCAGCATCCTCTTGGCAGTGGGAATGTGGTGAAACGGCGCACCTTTCACAGATGTGTCACGATATTTTTCGGTATACCGGTAGTCGGTAACGTCGGTACCTGTGTCGGCGGATAATTCTGGATGCATCTCTAAGCGCGGCACACAGCAACCGAGGAAGGGAAGCAAATTCGGCTTTGAAACGGAAGAGGACAGATGCCTCAGGAGCGACCAGATTCAGAATGGAGCGGGTTCTTGTTAACAAGGCTTGGAAGGGGTCGAAAGCGCAAGTGGGAAGCGCGCCACAGAAGCTTGAACCTCATAGAGCAACGCCTCAGCCACAGACAAAATTCTCAAGTTCGCATGCCAAGATGGGACCTCCATTCTGGGCACAGGCGCTGCACTGGAGTAGCTGTGGTAAAAGACCTCACAAGCCCGCTGCATGTTGCTACTTGGATCCCCCATCTGCGAATGTCTGGCTCATGGAATCCTTCAGAGTGAGCGACCACCCACTCACCGCAAAACTCCTTCTCGTTTTGCAACATCTCATCAAAACACTTCCTCCAAGCTTGGGCTTACGCAGTCTCGGATGTTGATAACCGAATGACTGTTCTTCTTCAAGGCCTCCCATGTTCATCTTTGGAAACAATGGGTCCATAGTCCTGCCGCGCATCTTCATGCCACAACGGTCATTCACAGAGGTCGCACTGCTGTCCTTCTTTTGTTTTCGAAGCGACTGTGCTCCTATTTTCTTTTGTGCCTAAGCCATCTGATGCTACCTGGACAAATCTTTTGCACCAGCTAGGCCATCGAGGACCCTGGGCACTCCACTGCAATGGCAGCAGGAGTCAGACTTGGCTCGAACCTTGGCCATTGTCTGCCGTCCAGAAGGCATGTCAACAATGTCAACAGTCCATGGTCTTGGCGGACAAAATGTTGCATCTCCACATCACTCACGTTACAAATTTTGAGGAAGATGATGGCGATGTGCAGGTTCATGCATCTGATTTGTCTATTTCATTCTGCTTGTCTGCGCTCTGTAAAGGCAAATTCTACGCAGCCGACTTCCGCTGATCAGGCTTGTGTGCTCCAATGTACTCCCGCATGAGCAAGCAAAAACCGGGTTGGTGTGCTGGGGGGGCCTTTGGATATCTTGCGAGGTGCACACTGCAATTTGCAGCGGGACAGTGGCACAATTGTACAAATCGACTTCAATCAGCTTTCACTTTCACATTGGACATCGAGCGCAGCATCAGTTCCGACTTGCCATGCCGTTCTCCCCTTCCCTTTCGCCTTGGCCCACTGCCTTCTCCCTCAGTTTCCACCTCCCCTCACCCAGCCGCCTCACATTCTTCTCTGGTTCCCTTCCCCACTTCTCTCCTTGCCTTCTGTTTCCACATCTGACCGTCGCAACCTGTCGTACTGGGTGCTAAGTCCCATGCTTTCCGGCGAACATAACTTTGCTGTCGCCAATCTTGTCGGACAGGAAGCCAACAGCCCCTGCATAACCATCATCTTCGCCTTGGCAGTTTTTGATAATATGGCTTCTTCTTGTTGCAACAATGCAAAGGCCCTCAGTCCCAGGCCGTCCTTGTGACCGAAGAGCTTGGATCCTCCAGCTGCTGTTCGCCTCATGCCGAGTGTGATGGTGTGCAAGTTGTCAGCCAAAGCCCCAGGTCTCGGTTTCAGGCTGGATCTTCCTGGACGTCTTGCTGTCACAGTTGACCTGACGTCGGAGAATGCACTTGGAAGAACTTGAAAGAGGTGGTGGTGAAGAGCGAAGGCATTTCCATGCATGGTTCGGTGCAGAGTGGACCAAGGCTTCACAGAAAAGAAAACTCGTTCTAATGGTTTCTCGGATGTCCTGTGGATCTGAACAGAGCGTCTGCCATGCCAGTACACGCGTTTGCCCGCGTGCTTCTGTGACTGTCTTCTTGCAGTGCCGCAGCGCCGATTCGTGAATCTATGATTGACATGTGGCCATGCCCCGTCCATTTCAGACTTCAAGGGTCACAAAAGCATACTTCGTCAGACTCCAACCTTTCGGGGTAGATCCAAGGGACCTGGGTCATGACGGTGAAGTCGAAGATGTAGAGGCTGTCGTAGCCTTCGTTCCAGCCTCGCGGGCAGACCCTGACTTGGGACTTTTGGGACTTCGGTCTTCGCCACCATTTTTGGGGGTCCAGGCTGAGCTTCTTGGTCGAGAAAGGCGTCTCCCCTGCGACATAGGCCTCTTTCATTACGAATGCATCGCAGGTCAACCAGGGCGATTTTTAAGTTGTGCATTGTACACACTTTTCCATTGCCTTCTCTAGAACCTGCGCATCGACTTCTTGAAACGGCTCCCACTCATCCTCATCCGACCACCACTCCCACACCTTACAGGCATATGCCCTAGCCCAGCTTCTTCCGGCTTCTTCCATGCCCAACTGAAACAGCGCAAAACTTAGGAGGAAGCAGCTTTCTTTACCACAGCAACTGCTTCGCCACCTGGCTGTGGCATCGTGCTGCCCCATGTCTAAAGCTCTCTAGAACAAGCCGGCTGGAAGTCATGCATGCGGGTGCAAAGTGCAGGAAGCGGCACGCAAGTGACGCCAGTGCACAAACTGGCATCAAAGTCTTCAAGTGTGGCACACACCGGCCTGTTCGCCGCACCGTCCGCGACTTTTTGCTTTCGGTATTCGTCCTCGGTGGTGCCACGCCCGTGCGCTGCAGTGCTGCATTGATGCAGTCAAGATTGATTCAGAGATTCTGAGTCATCTTTGCGAAGTTGAGCTCGTACTTCGTCTGATACTCTTTGTTGAAAGAGAAGTCTGTTGTGACAACCTGTTTGCGTGCGTTCACCCGGAAACGAACAGGTGCAGAACATCAGAGCAGGACCTTGCCCTTCGCGCCAACGGAAGCGTATAAATGCTCCAACCTCAGAATCGACTTCTGGGCGATTCTGGGTGGGTCACTCTCAAGATTCAGGTTATGACATCGTGGTTTTATATTGGTTTTCTTTCACAAGGTCTGCACTTGGTCCCTAAGGTCCCTAGGTCTTTCCACAGCACTTTGGCTGCACGACATCTGGAATTTGTACATGGCCAGGACGCTATCCAGACTTGCGGCCGGCCCGTTCAGCTGAGCACCAAGGTACCGTAGCCTGCCATGGCACGGAATGGCACAAAGCAGCAGCAGCATTGCCAGGCCTGAACGATAGGAACTGAACGGCACCAAGCTGCCAGGAACCACCACCGGCGAAACAGGCCCACCCTGCCCTCCCCATGCACTGGATGGCCACACTGCCATCAAGAGAGGAGGGTGGTGGGGCGCGGGTAGTGGGGAGTTGGGAGGGGCAGCCTGGATGAAATGCCTAGTGGTGTTCCGGAAACAAAACCGACCCGACTCGGACAGCGGCTTTACACTATTCAGTCGGTAGCACAACGTCTAATATCAGAGCCGGTCCATGGGAAAGCAACACAAAAGGAAGGATGGTATCAGCAATCAGAAGGAATCATTGCTGCGCTGAAATAACTGTCCTTTCTTCTGTCCTGCTGTCAACAGCTCTCAGCAACAGATTCTCTGAGAGGCTGCCCCACCACATCCCGAACAGGCCTGCGCTTCACGAGGGAAGGAGACGCAAAGTATCTCCGTCAGTGAGGTTTAGCATCTGGACAGTGGCCATGGCCTTAGAAGCTCATTCTTACGGTACTAGTAGCGGGCGTGAGGGACGAGGAGTGGCGCTTTCTCTCCTGTCGACCAGGTGGAAGCTTGTTCGGCATGGCTGAGCCACAAGCTGGGACTGCTTGCCCTGCAAATTCGAGAGACAATCCATCCTGCCGAAGTTAGATCCGAAACTTCCAAGGCACTCACCGGAAACCTTGGGGACACTTGACACTGGTCCTGGCCAGCGACATCCAGTTCCGCCAATGCCTTCACTGATTCTCTGCCATTTGTTTTTGGTTAGCAGTTCTTGGACTGTGAGCCAGACCATCTCTTTAACTTCTGCCATCCTTGCGGACACCTTCAGCAGCGATGCCGTCAGCTGTTGCGTTGAGGCTGTCTGAGTTGACGCAGGCTGAGAGCCCGTCCACGACAACTATCTGACATCTCCGCTCAGGAGGTCCCTTGGCCTCGTTGGCCTGCGCAAACTCTGATGTGACCTGTTCCCTCTAGCTCCTCTACCAAGACTGGCAGCCCACTTAGCCAGCTCTTAGCACTCCTTCGGCAGGTGCGGCATGACAACGTTCCTCATGAGCCCCGACACGCACCATCAAGGCCACCAAGCTCCTACGACATGACACCTTAGCTAAGATTGTAAAAGATTGCCCGCAGACCGCCGCATACTGTCGCACTGCAACTCTGCCGGTGCCAAACGGCGACAAGCTTCAATGAGATCTCGTGCAGGCCCTGCTCCTGAACACAAGTTTTCTCACAAAACCGTTGAACAACTTGAACAGCACCGGTACCTGTACCAATCCGACCCGCAGCTCTGGCCAGTCCTGCATTCGACTGTCCGCATCTGTCAAGAAGCCCGTGATCGCCTTGTGACTTCCACTGGGCCAACTGAAGCAATGAGGGGAACGTGCAAAAATGTTTGCAAAATGTTTGCAAGCACACGCCTCCAGTCCGGACATCGCTTCGGACATCAGAAGGTCGAAGTGACCTCTCTGGTGCGGAGAAGCCGAGTTAGCTAACACAGCATGCTCCGCGTGCTCTGGGCCTCCTCCGTTGCTTGCAGCGAGTGCAGAATCAAAAGGACTTCCTGTCAGAACTGCATGAAGTCTTCATGCCCCAGAGCATCTCACTGGCACAACCCATGCCTAGATAAAGAACATCTCCGTCTTCGCATGCAACCTGATCCTGCCGAGAGGACCAGAACAGCCGGTGCGCTGATAAGCAATTACGGAAAGAGTACTCTAGACCGCTCAGAATGTCTCGGAGTCGCAGTCCTCATCCCGCAAGCCTCGAGAATCTATGTCACGCCTCAGCACCTTTGCAACTGCTAACTCTGGCATTCCTGCACATCCCAGTGCTGGCATCTCCTATGGCCTGCATGGTGACCGGCATGCCGTACAGTTCGTACAGCTTCTCCTGCCGGGCACTCTCTGCAAACATCGCATGAGGTAGTCACTGCAGTACGATAGTATCCTTAAGGGCACGGACAGTGGATCCAGTTTTGATCCGAACCTGAGGCCAGCACACCTCTCCCTCTCTCTCTCTCTCTCTCTCGTGAAGCAAACGCAAGCAATCTCGCCAAACCTGCAGCACATCCTCTTGGGCTTGAAATCCTCGTGTGAGCGGCTACAATCGTCGCAGAAGAGATTCTCGCAAGTGCAAACTGGGTTCAGCAGTTCTCCTGGAAAAGTATCTTGGGGAGGTCGATAGATTGAGAGTGTGATCTCCTGTACAGAGGCTTCAGCATTACATACCCTCCGAAGGTCAGACCTCCGCGGCCTCATCGAGCATCTCCTCCGATCGTGTGGAGCAGCATGACTGACAGAGATGATAGCCGCACCTGCATAGGCAACAGAACATTGCGCTGCACGACGACGTGTCCGAATGGCCTGTGCGCTGCACTGCATACTTGAGGACTATACCACTCCTCTTGTACATGAGTCTAAAAATACGGTGTCTTATAATTTCAAGTCGCATCCCATGGCAAAGCATCGGATCACAGAATCGGACATATCAATTGAGGTCAAGCAGCTAGAAAACATACTTGCAACCCAACACACCGTCGCCTCTTGCAGCTGTAGCGCGTCATTCCCCGAGAAAGTGCCTGGTATAAGATGCTGCAGACAAAAAGTGTAAATGGAGTTCTGGAGTATATTGTTGCACAGTGTCGCACAGCATCCCTCCATAATACTCATACGTGCACCCACCTGCTGGCATTGGCAGCACTCCTGCACATAGCCACTTTTGATTCTGCAGCAGTGCAGCCAGCAGGATAAGAGCGTAAACCTTCTGCCTCTCCCTGATCACTGGAGTCCAAGTGTACCCTGACCCAACTCGTTGCTGCTTCGTGTTTTGCGTTCAGGTACCCTTCTTGTCCTTGCTTTCCCAAAGGACTTCTGGTGTTATCAGGAAGTCGATGGGGACAGTGGGACAAGGAGAGGTCTTGGCAAAACAAGAGGGCAGGGAAGGGCAGGGCCGTTGATGTGAATCACAATCGTTTAGAGATGTGCTTGAGTCTGCTTCAGCCTCCAGCATCAAGCTCCAGGTTCTCTCAGCATGGCACCGGTCCTTGACCCAGAGGCCCATGAAGCCAGACCCGGTGACCTTTTGCTCCAGTGTGTGTCCGCTCAGACACCGTACTTGCGGTCGCCAACATCCTGCACATCTGGAAACCGCAAAACATGCGCATAATCATGCGGAGACTTGCAACGACCGAGTCTGTTTGCGACACTCCTGGCACGGTCATCGTGTTTCCGTGTTCGCACCGGATGCGCCACGAACCATCCCAGCAAAAATGCCAAGCCTTCAACAGGTACTTTCGGTACTGTATCTTGCGTGAACCTATGTAGACTCGTGGAAACAGCAAAAACTATCGTAACTAGTAGGCAACATTGTCTGCTGAGTCTACTCGCGGTCACGCGATCTTCATGCTTTGAGCCCTCAAGGGAACGACATCAAAATGGGATGGAGCAAATCGATTGCAGCCCTCGAAACATCTGAGCTCTCAACAGCTGCGAATCCTGCGAAGACAAAGTCGCACAATCACACAGTCACGCTCATGTCCACAGAGTTAATGGAGCCAAGGGGGGCTGCAACTCGCCCAGTAGTGAGGCTTCATCCCTATTCCTAGCGCAGCACTCATAATTATTTCTGAGCTCGTCGGCGGATTTCCATCAGCCGCTGCCGTCTGATGCTGCATCCGATGTCTATGGAGGTACATGTGGAAGGTGGTAATATGTGGCAATAGGCAAACGGCGCATAGAATGCACAAGAGCCTGAGCAGAGGAGCCGGAGGAAGATGTAAGATCTCAGAACATTTTTTTTGAGATGGTCGCCTCTTTACTGCGTCAGCAGCCCAGTAGATGTAAGATCTCAGAACAGAGCGTAGGCCCAGGCTTCAAGAAAGAGGCTGGCGCTGGTGTTGCCATTTTCTCACAACGTTGTCGGAGCAGTATTTAGAGTTTGACATCTAAAACCAAGAATCAAAAATGCGAACTCATGCCACGTCATGCAAACAAACGAAGAAGGATGCGCAGCGGTATCCTGACCAATAGCGTATCTTAGCAACAGGACCACGCCCAGCCCAGTGGATACTAGTACTAGTCGCTTCGGTCCTCCTCGCAGTATGCTTTCCAGGAGCTTCCATCCTTGCCCCACCGGGTGCACCGGGTGCAGATCCCATGCATCCATGTCCCGTTCAGTGGAAACTTGAAAAGAACCCTCAGGCCGCCTTCCACTCCCACACGGCGACTTTTCCGGTCTTGGCTTTCTTCAGCGGAGAGCCTCAAACATTCAGCATTTGTCCTCACATGACATGCCCCGGCACTGACACAACCAGATGTCAACTTTGATGAGTCTCGTAGCTTTCTCCCGACTTCCAAGAGATCCGACGCAGAAGATCTCAGAAGCGCAGAGAAACGCCACAGCCTCCAACTGCTTCGGCGGCCTTCTTCTTCTTTGGAGCCATGCTGGCGGTCTCTGAAGAGGATAACGAGATGCTTTGTTGCGATGTTGAAGCTGTGTGATCTCTTTACCCGTGACGCTTCGTTGCTACGTTCGTAAGCAAACCGTCTGGAGATCCCTGGAGATCCCTGGAGCAGATATTGCTCAGTCGCTTCCGCTGATGCATGATTGCTGTCGGGCTGCCAACCGGCCATATCTCCTTCCGCATTACGACGTTGTTAATTGCACAATCCCTCTTTCGGGCTCAGGGCTGCTCAATCACAAAGTCCGACTACCTGCTTGGACATGACATCGGCGAATCTTCGGGTTCGATGTGAAAGATTTGTTCGTGCAAGCCGCTGTAGAAACTGTAGCATGTACTACTACTGGATCGCAGGCTGATCGCAACAGCAAAGCGTGAACTACGGACTCGCTCCGAAGAGAAACACAAGTGCCTGCGGAAGTTTTACGGCTTGATCGCTGTCCTTCGTTGAAAAAACTCCTCCATGGTACTAGTAGCCCAATGTGGCCCACCATATACAGCGCGCCTACAAGCTGGAGCCTGGACATGATTGGACATGGCCAGCGCCCTCCCTGCCTTTGCAAAGAGACTGCATGGGGATCTAGCTCATGGCCCCTGAGAAATTGGTCTATTCCGACGTCCGGTGCTCCGAAGGAAGTAACTACACAGCATATCATACAGCATATATGAAAACATGTGAAAACCCAGGCTGTCGAGAAAAAGCAAACGTGAAGACCAGTCTTGACTTTTGATGCCCCAGCGTCGTCCACAAGCTGCTGCCGTCGTCGCTCATACAAGACAAGCGCGGCTGCGTGGGACACGTTGAGACTTCCCTGTCCAAGCTTGACTTGGGTCATCACTGTCATCACATCGGATTGCATGACGACACCATTCTGCATGCGCCTTTTCGCCATCGACGACCATGGGGATCGTGGCCGCCTTTTGAGACTCAAGACATGATGCCTGGCACCACAGTCCTTTGCAGCGCTGCGCAGGCCTCGTCGAGAAGCAATTCTGCATCGGAGGGGATTCCATCGTGCTCTCGGCCAAAGACAAAGGCCAAGCCTGCGTGGCATGAATATGCTGCACGTTGCTGCACCGCTGCAAGAAAAAAACTCACACCAGCCTGGGCAGGTTAATCTCAGCTTCCAAAGGGGCTTGGCTTCACCTCCAGTACCTCAGATCGGGTGTTGCCACCAGCGTGCATGCAAAAGAAAATCACGTTACGCCGATATGTTACGCCGCCCCTCCCCCGACCCCCCAACCCCCTCCTCCGGACAAGAGGAAATACGCCGATGTGCCATGGCGCGCGTGGGGATGCTCCGATGCTGATGCGCTGATACGCTGATACGCTGATACGCTGATACGCTGATACGCTGATACGCTGATATAACGTTCCAGCCCCGATACACCGATACACCTGCACGCCGTTCAGTGTGGGTTGCAAAGGGAAGTGCGCCGATCCACTGCTCAGAAGGTGAAGGGGCGGAATGGTGCATCGGTGTGAGGGTGTGTCGTTGTATCGGCGCGAGGCTGTTGTTACGCTGTTTGCAGTCACTTTGGAGTGTTGTGGGGTTGCTTCCAGGCCATGTAGCGAAGGACACGAAACGGAGGAGGATAGTCAGAAGTCTCAGAAGTGGCCTCGGATGTGCCGGACGTCCTCAGATCGGCTGAGCTGCTTTTCTTGGTCGATGCGAGGAGTTCAAGCAAGGCGAAGCTCCCTCCAAAGATGCTGTGTGCTGAGCATGCTCATCATCTCCAAGCTTAAGAAGCACAAGCAAGCTAGCTGTTTAGACCCAAAAGCCCATGGAGTTTCGAAACTCAGCCGGGCCCCCCGGCTGTGAGCTGTCAAGCCGAGTAAACTGAATCCTGCAGCCCGAAGCCTTTGCAAGACCTGCATCTGCTAATCCAACGCGCACAGTGACAAAAAGCATGAGTAAAGTGTAGATGCATATATAGGCTCATGTGGACTACGTTGGTCCACCTCAACTGCTTCCATGTCTGCTGGCGGCTTGACGAGAGAGACGTGTCCTGGAGCATGCGTGCACAGTCCGTCGCAAATTGACAGTGCACAGAGAAGCAACAAACCGGAACTCATGTCAGCATACCTCAGTCAGCTGCCTGGCAGCTGGGGATCCACTCGGAGGCGCGATATCTCAACAGCCTGACTTACGACTGATTTCTATCTGGTCCTCGCCGCAGCGCTGCAGCACAAGCAAAGAAAAGAGTCAACAGGCCCCCGCCTTTCTGCACATGTCTCTGGACAGGCCCACAACCACAAGGAAAGGCAAGCCCAGCAGTGCACAGACTCGAAGAGTGGATCCGACCTGAATTTCAAAAGACCTCTGAATTTGTACCCAACATGGCAACCTCATCTGATTGTGCTCGGCAACATCATCTGACACATAAATTTGATTGGGCTCGGAGCCTTGATGTTCATGAGGATCTGAGTTTAAGCCGTTGTTTGGTGGTGAAGGTGGCCACTCAACGATTTGGAGATTTGTGGCTTTAGGAGCACGCTTGCAAGAGCTGCAAGAGCACTGCCACTAGGTGTAGGCGGTTGCGGATTGGCTAGGAGCTAGGGCTTGGAAGACATGATGGATGTCTCTGCCATCACATGCCACGCAGTTGTTCAACGGACGATGTTGGAGTTCTGCCTTCAAAAGCTTGCACAACACTGTCTGCCCTGTCCCTGGGCAAATGCTCGCAATTAGGTCCACATACCCCAGGTTAAATGCCAGGATGCGTTCCCAGGTCGTGCTCCACAGAGTACTACGCAAGAAGTTGGCGGGCCCATGAGCGCCTGTTCCAGGAAGCCTCGTCAAGTGCCGGCACATGCAACCAAGCTAGAAATGCTCAGAAACATCAAGACAACATTGGCCTTCCCAGTCTTGCTGCGGAAAGGACTGCGCAACTCCCTGCCGAAACTGCGGTCTTGGGCTCTTGCACGCACCCGAAGCATGGATACTGCCTCCTCAAGGAAGGATGCTTGGGTTCTGCACCGCGTCGTCATCCTTGAGGCCCCAGGACAAAATTGACGGCAAACGAGCTTCAACCGAGAGTTAGAGCTTCAAACTCTTTGTTCATCTTGATCTGGCCCTGCCTTGCTCGCATGTGAGGGTTCTTCAGCGCATGAGCCAGGCATGCCTTGCACACGTCACGTGCAATCGCATCGTGGGATAGTGGCACAAAAGACCGAAGGATGTTGACATCCCGCCTGCGCAAACCATGCAAACCAGCGTATCATGAGGGAATTCGGTCCGGCTTGATGGCATTTTGGACTGCACCTCTTGTCTGCTAGCCGTGCTGTAAACAAGCCAAGCATAGAAGCTGCATATCACGAATGAGACTGTTCACAGGTCTGTTCTCTCTTCCCAAGCTCCACTGGAGCGCGGTGCTCTACCAGGCAAGGACACCGTAGTGTGCCACAAGGCCAGTGAACCCGTCGCACTTAGGCGGCAAAGCTGGAGCTATGGCATGAGAATGGCAGGTAAGTGGGTCGGAGCAACTGCAGTTGGATTGTCCAAACATGCAATTTGAGAAGCTAACCTGGAAAGCGTGATGCAGCCTGATAGTTGATCAGGGTGCCGATTCAATTAGTGCGTGCCATAGCCATGATGCAGTGTTGATGCTGACATGATGTGAGATGTGTGGCGGAAGTTGCATGCTAAGCATGGCACGCGTTTGCCGGCCTGTCCGATTTGCCTTAAGCAACGAACAGGAGGCCCAGGCGAGGACAAGGTATCAACTCGCCGTCGCATGCGAATCTGCTCACTCTGGTAGAGCGGTGGCATCCGGTGTCGACCCATGCAACGCCTGGCTTCGGGGGGAGATGGGTGAAGTGCTTGAAGTGCAGGCCTCAACTCATGACGCAAGCACCGTACGGCGCATTCTGCCGCTTTTTGCCGAACCCGCACCTCGTTATCCCGCGAGGTCCTGCGGGAGGTCGGAAGGGGCGCTTCCGCTTTCGCAGGCGTCTTGAAGCCACCTGTGGTCTGCAGCTGCAAGCACAAGTACACAAAGTGCGTGCAAGTGGGACATCTCAATAGGACTAATAGGAATCACCCGGCCATGTTCATATGGTCATCTATACATCCAAATTCCATTGTTCACCATACCGTGGCCTGGGGGCGGCTTGATGAAGCGCTCGCCTTTACAAACATCACATCGGCCGCTTCCGGCAACGAAGTCCCGAAGAAGAGCACCGTCACCGGCTCCCCCACACTGCCTCCGGCGTCACCCACGACACTCCAAAAAAGCAACCACAAACGGTAACGACATACAGCGACATAGTTGACTTCCTGTGACTTTCTTGCTGTGGGTCAGACAGGGGAGGGTTTTTTCCTTCAGGAGTGCATGCGAGGGCCGGCAGCTGGCTGCTGCCCGCTGTTTCTGTCTCAGGTCTCGATTGGAGCATGATCTTGTAGCAATCCTTGGAGGTTGAAAAGTCCTGGGAATTGCTGGCCTCAAGCTTTGGGAGGCCTGTCTATGGGCCCGATGACCAATAGGAGAAGAAGAGTCGAAGCTTTCACCAAAATGGCATCGGGAAAGGTATACGGTATGTTCTCGATCGAAAATGGTTGAACTCTTCACGCAGAGAAAGCTAATGTTGAAATCCATGAAAACTAACATTAGGCGTGTTACGCATGAAGAGGACTAAATAACAAGTGAGATCTACTGTTCTAGCCTTTGGTATACAGGCCTCGGAAGCCTTGTGTGAAGTCTGCCCCAGACCAAACAACTGTGATAAATTACAGCTGCGAGCTCGGTCTGTTTTGTCCGAGTCCAATCATGTCATGGTGCTCTACGGCTCTTCTTGAGCGTGTCGAAGTGAACGTGGGGGCAGCAATGTTTTACAAGTTCGGGGTTTCTGCACGTGGTCCAGATGGTCATTCCCGCCTGCATCCTCGGGGCCTGCGGCCCTGCAAGATAGGCATTGGCCTGAGTTCCACTTGGTGAGTAGCAGCTAGTTTTTTGGCATCGGAATTGCGTTGAACTTTGCAGTGTGCTCTGAGCCGCCTGGAACCCACGGACGGCGCGAGGAAAAGCACATCCACAGAGCCTTCTCCCTGGAAAGAAAGTTGAGGAAAGTGGGGCATGCCGCACGAGACATGCCATTCAAAGCCGGAAACAGAAAGGAGAGCCTGGCAGTTGGCACAGCGGCCGGAGCCTTCGCACCTTTGACACTTCCGTGGCCTACAGTCACATTCTCGTGCAGGATTCTGCGAGCGCAGCAAAGGCCGCATTTTCAGAAAAACCGGCTGCTTGAACCGCGTGTGAAGCTTGGCTCCTGGCTGCATCAGCTCTAGGAGGCGCTCCTCTTCCAGCTTCGCCCTTCGAGCCTCCTCCTGAGCCCATGAAAAACATCCCTGTAAGACATCCATGTGAGAGGTTTTGGGATTTGGTGCTGCTTTTTTTTGGGCCACGATGAGCCCAAGGGGGCTCAGAGCAGGAGATGTCCTCCCGCTGCATTTGCAAGCGGAGTTCCTCCTCCTTTCTGCGCCGCTTGTCTTGTTCAGCCTGAGGGCAAATCAGATAACCAGGCAAGGGGTGAATATGTGCAAATATAAATATATATATATATATATATATATGTATATATATATGTATATATATATATATATGTATATATATATGTATATATATATGTATATATATATATGGATGACCGGTAAGGTTGCGCCTCCTCCACTCGGCGCCGGAGCTCTTCCTCCTCAGCTCGCCGAATCCTGGCAACCTGCAGAGATCTGCAGAGATCTGCACAACCCATCGGCGAACGCAGCGCGCTTAGCAGGAAAAGACTCGTGAAAACGCGCATCTGTTTCCGCATCTGGCAGAGCACACGGAGGACAAAAACAGTACTCTCTCTGAGAATCCATTCAGGACATGCTTGGACTCTCTTCCTGGAGGACAGATATGCCTCGGCGCGGCGCAGGCGCTGGCGTTCGGTCTCCAGCTTCTTTGCCGCCATAGCGGCCTCTGCAAACAGCGTGGCTTGCGTTACCAATGCTACCAAATGGAGCACCACATGGCATTTGCAAAGCCTCGTGCTCCACCAGCATCTGGGCCCACTGGTTCTGAGCGCGAGCCTCTCGCAATGCCGTGCCAAAGCGAAGCACTGTTTAGAGGACTTTCCCTGGCCTGCTGCCAGCGGCCGTTCCCACCATGCAAGGTCACCCAAAGGGGGTAGTCCGGAAGAAGAGATCCTGACACCGAGTGCAGAGCTCTTTGAATGTCCCGACAAGCGGGGTGCCTGGCACGCAATCGCCTCCGAGATCTCCAGGCTTTATGCTGTAAGTCGCGGGATAATCCTTCTCCTGGCCTGAGAGATGCAAGAGAACAACAACAGAACAACAAAGACGACTCAGCAAAGAAACCGGTGGTCAGCTCAGCAACTCTAACTCTCGCGCTCGAGCAGACACTCATTGCCTCGCCGCTCCCTACTCTCTCGAAGAATCAGAAACATATGCCACATGCAGAATGCAAGAGCTTAAAGATGTTTTCAGTGCTCTGTCCGTTCTTGCTATTTCTTGGAATGATGTCGCCTTGCAACTTCTGAGGTGCCTTGCACTGCACCTGGAAATGTCAAGAGAAGAAGCGCTTCAACTGCTTAAGTCTCACATACCTTCTTCGGTTACCACACTTCGAACAATACAAGGTATACGCAGAGCAGTGATCCCACAGAGTTGTGGACTTGCACAGAGCTTTAAGTCGAGAGCCATCTTACTTTAACAGCCACGGATTGCACTTATGGTGCGGACAGCAGAGAATAACAACCGCGAGAAACTGACCACTATCAATCAAAGGCGAAGTCATCGGTGATGAAAAAACACTGCACGCATTTCTCCACACCATTACCTGTCCGGATTCTCCGGCTTAAAGTCCCTCTTCTTACCAGATCTGTGCTAGCACAGCAGGGGACCTCGTTGCTTTGGGTCCACTCGCGTGGCCCAAGTGTCACTGCCTTGTTCCAAGTTCAGACTTTCCAAAAATGCACGGAAAACACTTCAGGCTCCCCTTCAGGCTCCCGGCTGGCTCTCAAGCTTGGCGGAGCTGGCTGAGCCTTGGCGCCATGTTCTTTCCTAGTTCCTTGAGAGACAAGCTGAACTAAGGGAGAAAGGTCACAGCAGCAGAGCAGCCGGCCCAACAGGCGGGGCTGTTTGGGGAGGGCGCCCTGGTCTCGACCTGGAGCGTTGTGCTTTGCAACGCTTTGCATGTTTTGTTGCTGCGGGGCTCCAGGGCTCCGGGCACTGGGAGCTGGTGACTGCGGCGACTGCCTTCCCCGGGAGCAACGGGCCGAGGAAGGACAACGCGTCGACCCGCTGCTCATGGGTCGCTCCTCTTCGCCTGCTGTGAGAGAGAGAGAGAGAGAGAGAGAGAGAGAGAGAGAGAGCGGAGAGAGCGGAGAGAGAGAGAGAGGGGGAAGGGGAAGGAGAGTGAGGGTGAGAGTGAGAGTGAGAGTGTGAGAGAGTGTGAGAGAGTGTGAGAGAGTGTGAGAGAGTGTGAGAGAGTGTGAGAGAGTGTGAGAGAGTGTGAGAGAGTGTGAGAGAGTGTGAGAGAGTGTGAGAGAGTGTGAGAGAGTGTGAGAGAGTGTGAGAGAGTGTGAGAGAGTGTGAAAGAGTGTGAGAGAGTGTGAGAGAGAGTGTGCGAGAGAGCGTGCGAGAGAGCGTGTGAGAGCGTGTGAGAGAGAGCGTGTGAGAGAGTGTGGAGTGTGAGAGTGAGACAAGAGACAAGAGACAAGAGACAAGAGACAAGAGACAAGAGACAAGAGACAAGAGACAAGAGACAAGAGACAAGAGACAAGAGACAAGAGACAAGAGACAAGAGACAAGAGACAAGAGACAAGAGACAAGAGACAAGAGACAAGACAAGAGACAAGAGACAAGAGACAAGAGACAAGAGACAAGAGACAAGAGACAAGAGACAAGAGACAAGAGACAAGAGACAAGAGACAAGAGACAAGAGACAAGAGACAAGAGACAAGAGACAAGAGACAAGAGACAAGAGACAAGAGACAAGAGACAAGAGACAAGAGACAAGAGACAAGAGACAAGAGACAAGAGACAAGAGACAATAGACAAGAGACAAGAGACAAGAGACAAGAGACAAGAGACAAGAGACAAGAGACAAGAGACAAGAGACAAGAGACAAGAGACAAGAGACAAGAGACAAGAGACAAGAGACAAGAGACGAGAAGCAGGCAAAAGGTAGGGCCTGTGGCCTAAAGCCTTCGGAGGTCTCTGTGTTTTTGCGTGTCTTCAAAACATCTTGAAACCCACACACCATGTGCCTCTCGCCTTTGGAGATCAATGCCTTGGAGGCCCAGCGCGGCTGATGCCAGGCTTCACTCGTCCGATTGCCGCCCTCCTGACCAAGGCTTGCCCATCACCACACACATGTTTTCGCATCTACAGGGATCTGCACTGGTAGATTTCTCAAGATCACTGTCATATTTGTATTCGCTCCTGTCGTCGCCCGAAGTCTTCCATTCGAAGTCTCCAGCGTGCCATGCCGGAGACCAAAGAGGCAAGACTACGCCATCTCCCTTTCCGCTGCCAGAACCGGCTGTAACCAAAAATGGATTTCAGCTGAAGTACTGAACTGTTTTGCGCTGGCCTACTCTGCGCTCCTTTGCGAGGTTCTCACTTTCAGCATGCACTTCCACATTTTCCAGGCATACTACATATCACAGACAAATTCATCAGAACTACTGGCCGGCCAAGATGAGCGGATGCGAGATCTGAGGTACGAGTACTGTCTCTGGCGACCTTCCCCCAGGCTGGAGCGATTTTTTGTCAGCACTCGCACCGTCTTGTACGATCTCATTCCATCCCTCCTTGCGGTTTGTCAGCTTCACGTGCGTGGTTGATCCTGACTGAGGCCAGAGGCATGAACAAGGCTGACAATGGCAGACACTCAGATGTTCCAACATTGACATGTTCCAACGAAGATCAACGCAGCATGACTCCTCTCAAGGAGCACCTCCACGACGCCACGGGGCCACAACAAGCAGTTGAAGCAGCGAAGGACCAGGAATCAGGCGCGGAATGCCGCAATGAATACCGCAACATCGTCAACAGGGGCCCTGGCCGTGAAACTCTCACCATTGTGCGCAACCCCTCTGCAAACCATGCGAATCTGATTCCCCTTTGAGGTCCTTTCGGGCACGATGGGATCGACAAACACGCTCATCGTTCATGCCGAGATGGGTCGAAGTTTGTGCACGAGTTCCGAAGGTCAAGAGCCATGGCTGATCTTGCTTGCATGCATCACTGGCTGCCCCTCGGTCCCCAGACTACATACGCAGCAGCAGAGAACTCTGCGGGCGCACCAGCACAGACTTCCGCAATGCTGTGCGTCGTTTTGCTCATCACGTTTTTTTGTACGCGGCGGGTCGAGCTACAAAGAAAAACGACCTGGGAGGGGAGCAGGGGGGGGACCTTAGTTTTTGCTGCGTACGCCGCTGCGTTTTTGAACACGGTCTCGTTCCGAGAGCGGGCCGCCAAAGTAAAAGAACCTGACTTTCACAGATGCCGCGACACCAACACAGGCTGGGTCCGTAGGCCTCTCGAAGAAACTCGCAGTTTGCAACCAATTCGTTGCTCTCCTCTGCTCAGGAAATTGTGCACTGCAGATGTGCACAGCACTCCTGTGATGCCTGTGTCGGGTCCAAGACTGGTAGAACTTTAATTTTGTTCTGCTCCTGGCGCGTCAAGACTCTGCGCAATGTTAGCAAATGCTGAATACAAGTGCCGTCCTGGGAATATGACCTGATGCCGACCATTACGACTTTTCCATTGACCTCCAAAGCCGTGTTTAAAACAGCTTTAGCTTCGTGTCAAGCTCCCCAAACCATCTCAGGCTGAAGCCTTTGCAATCGGAGGGGCGCAGTCGTCTGGGCATAACCTCCAGCAAAGCATTGCAAAGCACAGCAAAGCCGAGACAAAAGTGAAAAAGGAGTGATTCTTTGCAGCTGTTGCAGAAGTGTTCTTGTTGTGTTCGTGTTGCTCTGCAACAGCAGCCCGACCCCAGCCTCAGCTTGTTCCGCAGCTCTGCCAAAGTCGGAGACGACGCTGGCGGATCGAAGGAGAGCGTCTGTCAACGTCAGGCCCCCGATTCACAGAATTCCCGACTTCAAGCATCTTCAAGCCATCTCTACACGGAGACTCCGACACCGTTTCATGGAAGGTCCACCTGCAGAATGTCTGGAAGCTCGACCGGCACCGCTGCTTGGTCAACCTCGAACTTCATCTCCTCAGGCGTAGTTACACCCTCTGATTTCTCAGCCTCAACTGACATCAGCAAGCAAACTGGCATGAAAGCCACCTTGCGACCAAGGCGGAACGCCTCCAGAATGTCTTGCTGCTCCTTTGCCTCTCGTCAGCAGCCAGTCCAACACAGGTGCATGAGTAGAACACTGCCAGCGATAGCCTCGTCAACAGACGGCCCGGTTTCTACTGCTACCTTGCGGGTGCTGAGAGTACTGTGCGACCACTCCCGACAGCAAGGATTCTCGGTGGTTGCCAGTTCGGGTGATTTCATTGCCTGCTTTGGAGGTCGTCGATGCTCCCATGGAGCCTCTGCGGTATCAAGAAAAACTTTCAGCGTAAGCTGCACACACTGCATACACTCATGCGCACTGGCACTTTCCCTGACCAGACGAGCCAGCCTTCTTGGCCTCTAGCGGTCGCCATCCTGATGCGCGTTGACTTGCTTCAGGGTCACAAGACGCAAACCAATGCAAACTACAAGTCGCCTCTTCCGGAACGCATTGTGCCGCTTTTGAATAGCTAAACAGCTGCCGGTAGGGTGCGGCCCGTGACCAGTCGAGAAGCGGAGCAGTGCGAAGCATGACGCTGCTGCTGTAAGCGAGCTCACAGTTTCTGGCAACGCGCCATCATAGCTTCCACTTGCATCTGTTCGGTCGCAAGCGTTTGCAAACTACCAGGTGCAACTGAACATGGCTACACACGGCTATGCGTGGTGACACACGGACTACACACGTGGTCGCAGGCGTCCCGGCGTTTCCAGGAGCTGCTGAGCTACAGTAGGCTACTGTCCCTCCATTTTCACGTCCTCTTTACCAGCGTAGCCACTGTCCTTCTCGGTGCTACCCAAGGCCTGGCCTGGATCTGCAAGGACCGTTATCCTCTGGTAGATGTTGATGTATGCCTCAGAGAATCTTGCTCGGAATTCAATCAACAGAGGAAAATATCCATCAAAAACGCCAATGCCAACCACGCGACAATTTGAGTATCGGCCTTCCCGCCACAGAGGTCTGTACTCAAGCCCGTCATGTCTTTCCAGTTTACGAAAGTCACTTCGTCGTCATCAAAGAGGACCCACTTGTCATCCTGCTCGGGGCGGCAAGGGTGCAGAATGCGGTCACCCCTACCACAATCTTGAGTTGCACCTTGAGATCCTTGCCATCCGCTTTCTTGTGGAGAGTCCAGCCTACATAGTGACCTCCATCAGCCTCGGGCAGTCGGGCAGCCTCTCTTGTCCACACAAGCACGCCCTACGCTCAGAAACTCTCACACTGTCACATACGTACCATGAGCTTAAAACATTCACACCTGAGCCCACGGTTCCGACCATGTCCAGTTTTTTGAGAAAGGAAGCTATCGCAGCTGAGACCCAGTAGCAAGTGTTCTGTTGGGGATTGTTCGCCATCTCTTGAAGCACTTCGGGCGCATGCTGGCACGGGCTTGCAACTTACTACTAGTTCGGCATGGGCTCAAGCCTTCCTGGCTCGGCTATAGACATACAACACACATAGATACATACATACATGTCTATACGATTCTATACGTTTCCACCAAAGATGTGAACATGCTCTTGACGAACTGTGGCATGCCTTTGGGCGCCTTCTCATGTGCAAACAACGTGCAAGGCGAGGCTTGCAAAGAACATGCGCTCAAACGAGCAGTTGAACTCGAGAGACAGCACCACCACCCCTCCAAAAACATACAACCGCCACCCCTACCTAACGCGGACCGTGCCAATAATCGAGCTGCCCGAGACACCGTCGACGGGACAGCATCTGGGATACCGACCGACACACGGAACTGGAGTATGATAAGGAAAGCCTTGCCCTGAGACTGCCTGGATTGGCTGCAACCATGCATCCTTACGGTAATTTTTTCGCAAAAATGCGGCCGGATGGGCAACCAAAGGTTTAGTTACTTCACCGATGCTCGAGTTCTGTTCTCTAGCCTCACATATATCAGCTCAGGCCCCCACACAAAGAAACTGAAACAGCCAGGACGTTGACTGGCAGACACCGACCGGAGATTCCAAACTCGAAGACAAAACGCCGACTGAGATACCCATTGCGACATCCTGCAGACACCCCGCGGTGCCCCGGACACCCCGCGACACCCTACGACCACCCCTCGACATCGACCCCCCCCTCCGTGCGGGATTCCGCATCATTCGGCGTTCGCCGATCGCCTTTCGTAAGAGCAAGCAAACACTGTTGCAAATCGTGATTGTAACCCCAGTTGCAGATCGCGATTGAAGCAATCAAGACAGAATAGGACGCGAAACGCACAGAATGTCGTGAATTGGGGTGGGCATCCAGTGGGCATGCTAAGGCAAGTAAGCACCGTGCGGTTCGACCTTTGTGGGAGACGATTCCGATGAGCTGGTAGTGGCCAGTGTCCAGCTCTTCCAAGCCCACGGATGACATCTCAGCGTCCTGCATGCTCGTGAGTCGACTCAGCAATACTCAACATGACTGAGAAAACTTGTGATGTTTTCGACTATCTTCGATCCTCTGCTGGCTTCATCTCCACATCTTGATCCTTCGACACATTGCCTTAGCAGCTGACACTGGGCACGACCATCAACACCACTGCGCATTGACAAAAGACACATATATATATATATGTGTATGTATATATATATATACATGCTAATATACATATATATATATATGTGTGGTCGCCCCCCCCCCCCCCACTACTATTTTTATCATTGTCATCATCATCATCATCATCGTCATCATCATCATCATCATCATCATAACTTTGCCAACTTTTCATATCATACTACTGTGCATGCAAGCCCCCCCCCCCCCCCCCCCCCCCCCCCCCCCCCCCCCCCCCCCCCCCCCCCCCCCCCCCCGCCCGCTCTCCCAGACCCACCGCAGTAGATCATGGGGGGGGGGGAGTATGTGTGTGTGTGTGTGTGTATATATATATATATATATATATATTTCATGCATATATATATATGCATATATATTTTTATGTACATATATGTATATATATATATATATATGTATGTACGATATGTGCATCATTTTGTCTTTTCACTCAGATGGTCATGACTACATTGCGACTACATCCTTTACGATTCTTGGTGGCACCCGGAGTGAGAGGTGAGGCCCCATCTGTTGAAGGAGTTCCTGTCTACGTTGTCAGCGTCTGGCAGCTCCATCTCACCCCCCCCTTCTGGTATGGTTTGGTAGCGGGTCGGAGGGGCGCGGGCGCCCCCTTTTCAATTGTTGTTCCTTGTTTGGGTTGGAACCTCCCTTCCCTTCCCGCACAGCCCCCCACCGCGGCACACCCTCCCCTCCTCCCCACGCCAGGCTTGGCACGCACAGGTTTTAATGTCGCCGCTTGCCTGCTGGGCCCCCACGACATTTGCTAACTGAACTCTGACGGACCTCACTCATCCTCCTTCTAGAACCCCCCCCACCCATCTTTTCCCCACTCTCCCCCCACCCTCATACTCCTTAACCACCTCGAGTTCTGCTCACGTCCATCTTTGCCCTCACCAGCTGTACCAGGAACCAAATGTGCAAGTTTACAGTCTCACCGTTGACTGGCCCACTCCCTACGTGCTTTGTTGATCCGCTGGTCCTTCAAAAGAGTTTAGAGTGAGAAGGGGCGAGTTGAGTGTGAGGAGTTGAGAGTGAAAAAGCTTCTCTCTCCCGCTCTCTCTCGAAAACACTTCTCTCAAAACAACTCTCTCAACACACCAAGAATGCTCTGCGGGGGCCTTTCTTGTCCAAGGCGGCCTTCTGCCGCTCCAGCTCTTTGTCCTCCTGCTCCTTCTTCTTCACTCGGCCTACCTCAATCAAAATTCAACGAGACGAAACACCTCACAACTCGAAACATCTCTCCTCACGCAACCTCTCCACAAGACAATCTGAGAGAAACAAAGCACTGAATGCTACACTTAGATGATCATAAAGATCAAAAGAGTGCTACAAGGAAAGGTCTCAGAAGAGACAAGATGCCGACAGCCTCTTCTTCACGTCATCAGAAGTGCAGTCAAAAATGTCAAAAGTGTGCGTGAAAGCGCATTTGCGCGTCAGCTTCACCTTGGAAGCACTCGTGCCAGCCCATTCATTGGCCCCTTTGTAGCCAAAGCGGGCAAACTGGACCTCGGCAGAGATTCAAGGAACAGAGCTACAGCTACACTCGGTCATCCACGTAAAGTGTTAGCAACTGTGAGCTTTTGACGCTTGGCTCTGTCAGCAGTGTCAAAGGTCCCCACAACCAGAAAGGGCGGCAAGCTTGCAACGGACGATGTTTTCTCGTACTGCGCGTTGCGACCCAGGACTGGCGACTGTTTCTCAATGTGTTCCTTCAGAGATAGTTGTACCTTGGGGTCACGCGCATGGCATGTACATCGCACCCCACAACCTTGTCATCAGAGTCGTCTGCTCCTGTGTTTCTTTGAGCCAAGCTGCACCTTGGGTGATGTGCGAGACCGGGTCCGTCTGTGTTCCGAGGTGGCACAGCATCACGCGGCTCAGCTCTTCAGTCTCCTTTGGTGGGCTTGCAGAATCTTGCAGACACAAAGAAGGACCACCATCCAAAGGAGGCACACTGATTTACGAATGGCAGCCTGGGGTGCTTCTTCATCACACTCGAGGCATCGAAGAGTTGACTTCAGCTTGTAACCAAACAGCTCGTCTATCCTGCCATGATTACAACCATTGCCTGCTTCCAGACTCCTTGATCAAAACCGGCCTGTTCGAAGACTCGCTGCTTCCTTTCAATGTCCCTGAAAGGGTCGTAAGCAACCCACGGAGACACTCATCTGCGTCCTGTCACATTAGCTGTAGCTTCAGCGGCATCCGACAACAATCCACATGACCTACACGGTGTCCTGCTGCATTGGTGCTCCATTCTGCATCTCTGCAAACCTTCGAACTCAAACAGAAGAAAATGCTGTGATCCACTCGAACATGAAGAGCAACGGTGCATGAGCACGCAGCACGGCCTCGGAAATCGCTGCCGCAATGCCATTACAAACTGCATGGGCACGATGGAGTCAGTGGTGCTGGTAAGCTGTGTGTTCACCGTTCGCAGCTGTGCTGTGAGTACCTCGGCTTCTCGAAGTTTTCGATGGAATGCTTCGCAGAGCTAGCCGGCTTATCACGTGACAAGCGTGCATAGTGGCTCAGGTGACGACGGAATCAATATCACGCACCTGCGAGCGCGCGACCCAACTTCTCATCACAGTAGCAGGATTACAGGCACAACATCTGCTGGCCTCAGTAGCAGGTGGCTGGTACTGGTTGACAGCTTCTCTCAAATCTCCCACTCTGTTCAGGCATTGCAGGGTAGCGTTCATGTAGCAGGTGTTGCCCAAGTTCTTGATCCCTGCTGGGGGGATCTCCACTTTCCTCAGTGAAGCTCGACGAAGATGAGACGCGGTACAAGCATATCCAATTTCTGTACGTATGCTGGACAACAATTGACGACAAGCACACTGAGACATGGGCTTCTCTTTCAAGATTCTGGCCTTCTCTTCCGGAGAGAGATCCTCTTCGAAGACCACTTTCTCCTCCGGAGCTTTCAATTCTTTGCCCTGCCAGTTCGTTCCAAAACATGTCCGAACAAACGAACGCAGATGGTGCACTTGACATGCAGACGCACGCACGCACACGGCGCGGCCCAGGCCTAACCCGGCCCGCCTGCGCCCGCCCACGTGGGCACCCTACACCTACACCTACACCTGCACCTGCACCTGCACCTACACCTACACCTATACCAACTATACCTACACCAGCTACACCAGCTACACCAGCTACACCAGCTACACCAGCTACACCAGCTACGCCAGCTACACCAGCTACGCCAGCTACACCAGCTACACCAGCTACGCCAGCTACGCCAGCTACGCCAGCTACACCAGCTACACCAGCTACGCCAGCTACGCCAGCTACGCCAGCTACGCCAGCTACGCCAGCTACACCAGCTACACCAGCTACACCAGCTACACCAGCTACACCAGCTACACCAGCTACACCAGCTACGCCAGCTACGCCAGCTACGCCAGCTACGCCAGCTACGCCAGCTACGCCAGCTACGCCAGCTACGCCAGCTACACCAGCTACACCAGCTACACCAGCTACGCCAGCTACGCCAGCTACGCCAGCTACGCCAGCTACACCAGCTACACCAGCTACACCAGCTACACCAGCTACGCCAGCTACGCCAGCTACGCCAGCTACGCCAGCTACACCAGCTACACCAGCTACACCAGCTACACCGACACCACCGCCACTGCCATCACCACCGACACCTACACCGGCACCACCTACACCACCTACACGCGCACACGCACACGCTCACGCACACATACGCATATTGCCTCAGGAGTGCCCATGAGGGTCACCTTTTGCCCAGGCTTCATCTTTGCCACCTTCCATCAGCTTCAGTCGTGGAACTCAAGGGATCTCAAGGGGTGCCAGGAAACTAAGTGTAACTGCACGGGCCTTGGCCATGAGGTCATCCGTATCCTTGAGCATTCCTCCTGGAAATCCCAGAAACTTCCTTGGTCATCCACACCCGAGCCGTGGCATCCCGTCTTAAGACCTGCTTGGACTTGAATGGTTGACTATGCCACTTAGGCGCTGCCGGTCCATGGGCACTTGGGTCAAAGTCCAAACCTGCGTTTTGAAGACCTGGAAGTTTGGCCGCAATTATGCCGCAATGTGCCCAATGAACCAAGAAAGCAGGCGGGCTTGTGGCTGCCACAGCATGGACAGAAGCTCCAGCCTCAACGGTAGAGCCCTCCTCGAGATCGATGTCAAATTCTTGCTTGTTCCATTTAAGGGATATCTGCCTAGGCCCAGGGTGTCGGAGCTCGCGTGGCAAAATGGTCACATCTGCTGCTGCCAGGCAACGCCATGCTGCGCGAGGTGAGTTCGGGACCGCCAGGATGACGTGTGCTTGAGAAAACACCCGATGTGGGAATGCAGTCTACATGAGGCTAATGATCGTTTCGTTAACTGACCGTGAAGCTGTCGGAACTCATTGCTTGAGGAAGATGGCCCCAGTCAGGAAGCGAAAGACGTCGAATCTCACGGCAGGACCACGCATGCTGCCTGGTACAGTACATCGACATCGAAACTTCAGGCTGGCTTTCGCATGCTCACATAAGCTGTTGTGGCCTGTCGTGACTCTTGCTTGGCAAGGTCTAAACGTGGGCTACGTAAACCAGCAAACGTCAAGAACAGCATTTGCTGTTCATCTAGCTACTAGGCATGACTAGGCATCACTAGTTGTTGAAGACCGCCTTCGAGCTTTACAGAAAACGCCAGCGAAGATATGCGAAGACAGGACCCTTGAAGAAGCCACATCATGATGCTGTCAGTTCATCTCGCGAAACCGCTCTGCGCTCTGCCCTTGACATCCCTTGACCCATCTTACATCTTCAGCTTTGGCTCCGTCTCGGAGGTATAACCACCATGGCAGCTGTAGCCACCCAGCCTGGCTTCGCAGAAGGAGTGCAGCCTGTACTTGTAACAACTATGAACAACTTACAACAGCCCATGCCCTGGCCTCCTGGGTGCCTCGGCTCCCTCGCCCTCGAGGCCTCGAAAGCCACTTTTCAATGCTTTTTCCTTTTTGCATATCTGGCATATGTCACACTTCTCGGCCATGTCGCCGGCCTGCATCTGGAACTGTAGCCTGCGCGAGACATGCAACTTGCAATGCTCCAGTCTTCATCCAACCGCAAGCAAAACAGAACAGAAAAATCTACCACAGCTTCCGCAGAGCAAAAGTGACCAATTGACCGAACCAATGTGTCCCTGGTCTGGTTACAGTGCTTGCTGCCTGTGATGGATCCAAGATCTCATCACTGGCAGGGGGTAGCAAGTGCCGCTGCATCAATGCCACGAAAGCCTCAAACCCCGAGTGCCAAAAATAAGAACGGAAGACATGGAAGGCATGGCATGACATTGCTATCTGCCCATGGCATGCCGTCCTGATAGTCAGAGACTGCCAATAATGAGTCGGCAATGTCCTTGGCAAGGCCTGCAATGCAACTGCAACGACACACAAAGTCCAGTAAAGCTCTTGCTGCTGGTGGCGGGCGACCAACTTCCAGCCTCCTTGTTGAATGGCTTCTTGAAATGCCTCAAAGCCTGAGCTGCTGCAACCTACACAGCAAGCCGCCTAGTTCTGTCGTGTTGCTTCTGCTAAGCTGGCATTTGAGATCAAGAGCACCACGAGACAGCGCATGCTAAGAGAGTAGTACAATATGCAGGCAGTGGAAGTTCGTACGGCTTTTCTCCTGCAGAAGCAAACTCGAGAGGCATGAACCAGCGGCAACCGACATCATCTTTTCCGCACAACATAACAACGAACTACAGAGGCTTCCAGCCAGCTTCCAGCCAGCTTCCAGCCAGCTTCCAGCCAGCTTCCAGCATTCCCCAGCGCGTTCACTTCTAGGCCTTGTCCCTCACTCCATCAATGTGAACTGCACAGACTTGACCTTGGAAGGCAGAAGCCATTCACAACAAGCTTCTTGCGGCTTGCGGGAAGTCTCGACTGACACTGCTAACACTGTCAACACCGTGATCCCCATCCGCAATCTTCACAGAAAGGTATAAGGGTTTTGAGCCTTGTGCTTTACTGGCTACTGGTATGCAACTGGAATGTGTGCTGAATTTGGGTATAGCCCCTGGGCATTACTAGCAGCGATCAGAACTTTGGAGGCCTCAGCACACAAGCACATGCACCTGGACACCGATTGCAGGCTCGCTCTTGGGGCTTCTAATGACTCCAAGGGCTTGACTTTTGAAGCGGCTCTTGTTGGCATCGTTGTTGTTGTCAACCCGCTCCGTGTAAGCTACATACAGGATGTTCTTTGCATCGGCATCGTATATGCGTTTGACTTTCAAGGTCTTGAAGAGAATCGCGCGCGATTCCGAGAACACGTCTTCGCCCTCTTTGCTAGGCTTCAGATCTGGTGAGATTTTCACAGGGCCATTCTTGGCGCAGGTGAGGCCCGCAGCCCCTGGATCTGAAAAGAAGTCGCCTTTGCTAACCCGATCGGCCATCGATCGAGAGAAATCCGAGATGTAAAGCGACACACCAGAAACCTTGGGGTCTTCAAACGCCTCCACATTGATCGTGTCCTTAAAGATGAACCCGGATGCGGGGATCTCGCCCACCAACCTCTTGCTCTCAGCGCGTGCAGGCGCCTGCATGACAAAAAAGCCCAACAGGAGCGCCAGTCCAGCTGCCGAAGCACTGTACGCAAGCTGTTCCAGGCTCCCCGTGCACTCAGTCTGCGAACCGCGAGCACCGCGGGCAACACCAGCGCACTGCGCGGACAAGAAAGGACTCGGCACCTGCCAGCACTGTCAGCTGTGGGGGCATTAGACGCGTGTGCACATTCGCACCCAATCTGGGGGCACCATTTGCAGAAATGACGAACTGCCGAATCTCAATTGCAGCGAGACACAGACAAGGTGCACCGAGCCCGCCAGGTGCCAACGAAAGTGGTTCCTCGCGCAGGCAGGTGTCAGCCCTTTTATCGGAAGCGATGACAAGTCGCGGTCAGTGACTTGCACTTGTCTGTTGCCTCGGCATGTCAAATATGCACCAGTAGCGACGGCCACCAGGCGAGCCAGCAATGTTATCCTCCTGCTGCGAACTACCTGAGCACTCAGACTGTGAGGTAGGAGAGACTGCGGCAGGAGGACCGAGATTTGAAGAAACTCGCGAATCAAATTTAAGCGGAGAGGCCATGATGCGGCCCGTTGGAGTGGCAGCGGGCATCAAGCGAGCTTGCGTCGACATGAGCCAAGATGCAGCAGAAGAGATCAAATCACAGCGCTGGCACTTGGCAACATGCATCACTCAACGCCGTAACATCTTTCTGGGGAGGCTGCTGTGGCCGTTCTTGCAAAACCACGCCTCAGCCCGGGCTTCAAAGAAGCGTTGATACCTCGGCACATCGATTCGCCAAAAACGATCACCATTTTGCATTACAACGCTGTGCACTGGCTGTACATCTCATGAAAAGGCTACGTTTAACCGGAATCAGGCCAGCCGGCTGCGCATGGAGCGCATTGAAACAATGCCTCACTGCACAGGCCGCGTGGGGAGTCTGCATCCTCGCATCCATGTTCAACCAGACGATCTCGTCACCGAGTGCTGTGCAAGTGTTCTTGTCCATCAAAGTTTGCGAACACGGCACTATTCTCCTGACCAATCACAATGGTAGCTGCCAGTGAACCAACGTCTGACAGGAGGAGTATGTCCTACAAAAAATGTCCTAACTCCATCCGTTCGCACTATCTATCATAGCTTCTTCACCTTGTCGACAACTAGTGACATCACAATGTGATGTCATCATCTCAGGCTCGAGGAGTCCGTGTCTGTATGGATGTTCCTTTAAATTGCTTGGGGTCCCCTTGAACGTTCAGGAACGTCTTTGTTTCTTTTTGGGCGGGGGGGGGGCACGCCGCAGCACCTACAACCCAGAACGGGACTTTGTGTTAGGGTCGCAGGGTAGCCTCCGTGAATCGGTGCACGAAGTCCAAGAAGCCCTCGTCCGTCAGCCTGGGACAGCAGCTGTCAAGTGAGCTCAGCGATTTTCTGAGAAGCATTCTTTGAGGCATTCTGTGAGGCATTCTGCAAAGTGCTCTGGAAAGAACATGAAAGAACCACAGTCCAGGCCTGTCCACCAGCTCTCGGAGCTGCTCGTCATCCAGTGCACCGACTGCTACCATGGCGGAGCGCTTAAGAGTCGCACCTCAACTTATTGGCGCTGAAACCGTGCCATACCGTGCCATGCCCATGCAGAGCTGCAAGCAGAGCTCTAAGTATGCTCGTGCCACATCACATGCCGTTTCTGCTGAAGCAAGGCTCGGAAAACTGGCGCAAAAGGGCGGCAAGAATACTTGGAAAGGCTTGGTACCCCCAAGATCTGAAGCTCAGGGATGCATCAACCCTAGTGGACCCTCAGGCACTGTCGGGCACTAAACGTGCCATTTTCGGACTTCTCAAGTCTGAGCCCAAGCAGGGTGCGAGCCTTGGTGCACAGCGCACGTCAGAACTTGGGAACACGCACTGAGCGCAGGCAGCGTTATCTTGACTCTTCTGCTTCGCAGCCTCCGATGCTTGCAATGACATCGATGCCAGCACTTCCGTACATGATGGCACCTCAGAGACTCCGAGAGAAGACTTTGATTGATCACCTTGATATCACCTTCATTTGGCTGTGGGTCACGGGCGCCGGGCAAGCCAGCAGTCTGTACTGGGACGGTTCGTTTCTTTGGGCCACGGTCTGTGTGGCCATGAACGTCTCCGACTCCTCTTCCTGGCGGCCTCAAGTCAGCGAGCCGTGTAACTTTCTCGAACCCTGCAACGACTTACAAGCACCTAGACGGCTAGCCGGCTGTGCATGAGGGCAGATGCTGGCGGGCGTCTTTGGCGAGAGCGGGCTGTGAATTGCAGGGCAAATGAGAGTGGAATGACATAAAAAATGCAAAACTGTGCAGGAGTCAGGAAGTGGGACCAATCGGTCAGAGAGTGGCCGAAAACAACTTGGACGGGCGTGGAATCAAACATGTCGTTCTCTCACCATTGAACTCTTGCAACAAAATGCTAACGAAGAACGTGCACCGCCAGCCTAGGCTCACAGAAGCCTTTTCCTAAACTTGTACCTGCTTCATTCGGGAGTTCCTTTCACCTCCGTTTCTTCTACTCTTTTCTGCGTCAGCACTTACGTTGTAACTCCACACAACAAGTTTAGGAACTCGTCCGTGAATTAGCCATTCATTCCTGGTTTTGCATCGCCCGCTCCTTTCGTGATTCTGTCCTCCCTGTGTCGTCTTCATCAACTATAACTATATTAAACAGCCGCCTGCAAGACATCAATAGAATCCAATGCTCCGGTATTGCCATATCTGTGTTCACGTTTAAACTCTCTTTTCTAACAACAGACAAATCTCGACGGTTCTTATTCATTCTAAATGTGAAACTAATATTTGTTGGCACGTTGGCACTACAGGCCAACATGCCAAAACAGCGCTTACTTGGAACATTGTAGGGATCTTCTGGGATTGGGCACTCCGTTGGATTCACTTGGGGTAGGAGACCCCTGCCAGGAGCACAGACGACCCGAGTGAGGAGAATAGTCCAAATCTAACAATCCCACACCGAGGGTGAGGAAAAGCACCTTCCTTAGACATTCTCAGCGTTGGAGCAATCCACAAAGCAATACGGCTCTTACCAAATTGTGCAACTCCTCTTGCAGCTTGGCCAACCCAAAGTTTTGTGTGGTCTAGGGCAAGCTCGGTTGGAAGAGGTACAGGTTTATGGACGCTTATAGGCACACCGGCTTTACCACAGAGGTGGCAGGACACTCCATGTCGGCATTTATTGACTTTCTGCTGCTTCATATAATATGATAACTTCTCTTGACTAATACCGATGAGGACATAGTAGTACCTGCCAGCTGATGACTCTTATCTGCAGAAGGCCCTTCCTTGATTTTTTATGGAAGGGTTTACTCAGCATGCTGCTTGTACAGCTGCCCCTTGCAGCCGGGCTTACACTTGAAGATCAGCATGGAAACCGAAACCTTTTCGCCCGCGCCCAGTAGGGCAACACACAAAAAATCCATTCCTGGTGTGTTTGGGGTTGCGTTTTGCTTTGCCCTCTTGGCGTTAGAGGCCGAGGCTGCGGCAGGCCACAAGCTCTGAAAGGAGAGACTCCCATTCAGCTCCGCTTCCACGGATGCCTTGAGAAGACTTTGTTGATACCGATACCGATACCTCCTGGAACCTCCATCATGTGTGGGGATGCTTGCACTCGGTCGCGGACTTCGCAAGAGACTGCGCACCTTGATTAGAAGTCAGTCTGCCACGGTAGGAAAGTGGAGGGCTTTGTCGGAGCCCAAACAGTTTCTGAAAAGACGAAAGACTCTGAGGGAATGGCATCCACCGTCATCCCGAAAGTCCGCAGCAAGGCCTCCATGTAAGGAACACCCCAACCAACGCGCAAACATCTGGCATGTTTGTCTCTGTTTCGTGTTCATCACACATCGGCTTGGCGACTTCTTGCTGCGTCAAAATTCCCCCACCCCGGCTCGTCGCTGTAGGCGCTGGTCTCTTCCCTATTGGCTCTGAGAGTCTTTGAGAGAGTAAAGGAAAACTTGCAGCAGCCAAAAGCATGCGTTCATCCACACCCCCCTTTCTTATGCAACGGGCCAGCGCATCTTATGTCAGTGGCTGGAAGCACGCATCCTTTGGCCTCAACCATCAGGCCCCCATTCCCGCGGGATGCTGCCACGAAATTGAGGGTCCCTTGCTTTTTGGAGCATTGGTTTCCGTTTCCTCCATGCGTGCAACCCTCGGAAAGGCGAAGAGGGAGCCGGACTCACTGGCGACGAGGACCGAAACTCGAGCCCTTCACCCGGCTATGTCTCTCTCCCTCTCTCTCCCTCTCTCTCCCTCTCTCTCTCGCTCTCTCTTCCTTCCTTCCACTGCACCTGATCCCCCTGTGTGGGGGGACCGCCCTAACGGGCGAGCTCCAGCGAACTGTCTGTGTGTGAAACTTCCGTGGTGTTGGGGGAGTTGGGGGACGACCACCAGGAATGGGCTGTGTGTTAAAGGAACCGCTTCCAGCTAAGTCAAGACTGCTCTACAACAACATGGCCATTCCTGTGTATGCGGGGACTCCCGTGTCTGTACGCGCCACGATCTGGACACCCCATGTGTTGCCAGGGCCTGTAGGACACATGAGGTCTACGTGCTGTGGGGTGACTCCCGGATTTGAACCACCTCAGGGGTGCACATGACCATAAAGACTAGTTTGGGAGTTAAGGGTAGCATCACAAACTGTTCCCCTTACAGCACTGGTTCTGGGCTCAAGTTGGGTTGGGGCGCAACCTGAAGGGTGAAGGTGTCTGTCCCTCACTCGTCCTGCACGATTGTTGGGTCATTGCCCAGGCCGGGCTGCTTTCCCCTTTCCCCAGATAGTTGTTCTTATCGAGCCGGGTGCACAAGCTCAGTGGGAGAAAGTTGTGGGGTCTACAGGGGTCCATAAGACACTAGGATGTTAGCAGTAGATTCTATTGTTCTCCCCTGATGTGTTCTACGCCCTTGCCTTCGCCCTTCTGAGGTGGGGTTGGGGTTGGGGTAGAAACAAAGCAGTACTCCCATTATGTGACGGGTAAAGGTGGAAACACGGGCTTGGCTTGGGCTCAGTTGGTTGGCTGCTCTCAGTCGCTGCTGGCACCGTCGTGCTCACGTCTTCGCCGGTGTTCGGGTAGTCGATGCGCGCGACGGTGTTGATCCCCCATCAGGTCTGGTAGTTGGTGTTGCCCCTGATCAGGTAGTCGTGGATCTCCTTGTTGTTGGTGCCCCCCATGGTCGTGTAATCGGCGGCGTCCTCGTTGTGGGTCATTTCCCGTGGATCCCCTCATCGGTGGCGTTGGAGGCACGGTTGATAGCTCCCCCGTTGTCGTGGAGGGTGGCCAAGGGATTGTAGGTGGTGTTGAGCTGGGTGGGAAGGTGAACGTCTCGGCCTCCCTTTGCACCATGGCTTCGTGGAGGATCTCGTGCGCTTCTCTGGCTGTGTGGGCTCTCACGATCACTTGTTCGAGCAAACCGGCCGTGTGTTCCACCCTCATGCCTAGCGCGGTTTGAAGTGAGAGCTCGTTGAGGATTTTGATGGCCTCTTTACAGGCTCGCTCTCCCCTTTGTAGTGCTTCCGTTTCGGCTTTGGTGGGTGTGTGTTGTTCGTGTTGGTAGAGCTGGTATGTGTGGCCCCGCCGGATCGCGGTACGG